TCATTTTCCTGTCCTCCTGCACATCCCCCTCTGTCAATCCCTACATTGGCTTCCAGTTAGATATATGGCTCAATTTAAGATTCAGGTGCTTGCTTCCAAGTCCCTAGATAATGCTGATCCAACCTACCTATCTTCCCTAATACTCAAGTATGTCCCATCGAGGCCCCCTGCGAACTGCCGAAGACCAACGTCTGTCCTCTGTCCGTACTCCCATTTCGCCTACAAGGCTTCTAAAGGGCAGCACCTTTTCTGTGTAACTCCCTTCCCTTCTCTGTTAGACTTTCACCCAGTATCCACTCAAAAATCTTTGAAAACACACTTCTTCAAAAAAGCATATCACTTAAACTATTAGCGGGTTTTCATTCCCCCACCCCACCCCAATCTATATCATTACCCCTACTTATACCTTTTGTGTCACTATACGCCACAATCTCTACCATGTAAGCTCGTTGAGCAGGGCCCTCAACCCCTCTGCCCCTGTGCGTCCATTTGTCTGGTTACAATTACGTGTCTGTAAGTCCACCCATTGTACAGCGCTACAGAATTTGCTGGGGCTATATAAATAATAATAATAATAATTCACCTTGAAATATCAGCAGTGAATAACCCTGTGAGCCTCTGATCTAATTATTCAATTGGATAACTGGCTAATGCCACATATGTAGGCTGGGCCCCATTCAACAGAGATTAAGAATTACTACTTTGCACTGTATGCTTGTTTGAGCAGAACCCTCTTCTGTGTATCAATATTGTTTTGTTGCTACTACCTGTATATGTTTTGTTTATCTACAGTAATTCTGTGCTTCATAAATAACTCTGTCAAAGGTGCCTCTACTATAGCCTTGTGGTATGCTGCCTCCATGTGGGCACACAGTGAAATAACCGTAATGTGAGTGTTCAAGCAGGTCAAGGGTACTATAGCTGGATTTCACACAGCTATTCACATTCACTTTTAGCAAGATTTGATGGGCAAGTAACAATTTTATATTGTGATAAAGAAAGTTAGTTTCCCTCTAACAAGAATTTTAAAATGGACCAATTTCTTTTAGTTTGAACACTAACCTATTGTTAGGAACTATATTAAACGCCTTGGCAAAATCATAGTAGATTGCATCCACTGCAACACCCTGATCTATACTTTTACTTCTTCATAGAATGCAATTAGATTAGTTTAGCATGACCTATATTTAGTAAAACCATGCTGATTATTGCTAAAAACAATGTTCTTCCCAATCAGTTTCTGAATTGTATCCCTTCAAATATTTCCCAACCACAGAAATTAAGCTCACAGGTCTATAATTCCTACAATCCTGTGATACAATTTTTGAAAGAAAAGAAACTTGAAAGAGTAAAAACAGAGGTTCCCTTAATTCCACACTTAGATCCTTAAGTACTCATGGGTGTATACCGTCTGGTCCTGGAGCTTTGTTTATTTTCAACCATATTTTAACTTACTTTAGAAGTTTTTATCTCCTGCTCAGTAAATTTAACTTTAATCACATAGCAGGCTATTAGCAGTGCAGGAGATAAGAAATTCGAAATTAAGCAGAATTTACAATAAAGGAAGTATAAACATTATACTGAATCTTTACAGGAAGTGTTTAGGAAGGCTGAGCAGGTCACATGCAGGGAGGTGTGACCAAGCTTTATAAACTCCTAAATGGCAGAGAGCATGCAGGGGGATGATCTATAGCCAAAAACTGCTTACTAAAGCTCAAGTTGTTTTGGAGACTATAGTGTCTCATTAATGTTCCAGGAAGATCAGATCAATTTATGGGCGAAAGTTATATTTCACGGCATATTGAGTGCAAGTTCACACTATCAGGGTTATTTACCAAGATGACTAATCAAACGAGAAACATTCTTTAGGTCAGCTATGCTTTCACTTTGGATATTCTGGCTTTAAATTTCAAATACACTTGGAATTCTCACTTTAGTAAATAACCCTGTATGTGTTCAACTTACCCTTTCCCTAGATCCTATTACATACTTGCCAACTGTCCCAATTTTGACAGGACAGTCCCATGTTTTGTGCTCTTTTTCTGACAAGAACTGGTTCTGGGACCTGACCCGTCTCCCGTGTAGCTGGCTGACCTGTTTAACTGAGCAGCCGCTGTGCCGGAGGGGACATCAGCATGGGGAGCAAGAGAGGAGGCAGTTGACACTGGGGACTCACAGGTTGGAAGGACGGTGAGCTGCTGTGTTTAAGAGCCTGTGTACTTTACTTTGAGGTTATCCTACCTCGATGAAAGCCCTGGTTCGAAATGTTGAGGGGAATTTTTTTGGTATTGGTTGGATTCTCCTCTTTTATTTTATTGTTTTAGTGACTGGTCCGTGATGCACTGCGCAATGAGACAATTACAAAAGGTTATTGAAACAAATGGTTGAAGAGGACCCTGTTCAAGTGAGCTTGCAGTATAGAGGAGGTGGGTTATAAAAACGTAATAGGACAGCAAACAAAGAAGGTGGGAAAGTAGCAGTATTGGAGGTGAGAGTGGAGTGTGGCCTTTTAGGATAGAGCAAAGAGACATGTTTGTAAAATAAAGTAAATTTATTGAACCCACAGCAACGTTTCGACCAAACTAGTCTTTGTCAAGCTTGACAAAGACCCGTTTGAGTGGAAACATTGCTTTGGCTGTGGGTTCAATAAATTGCCTATTTTGAATTCTGGAGAAATTCCTCTGTGCGCCAGTAGTTACTAGACAACACACCAGTGTGGTTGCAAAACTATTGCACTAGTAGTAAAGAGACAAAACAATGCCTGTGAACCAGGAGATATAAGAGACAGTGGACTGCTAGGATTTGTTGGTAGCAATCAAAAAATATAGAGAGTATAATAGTCCTAACGCTGTCTTTTTGGTAAAAAGTCTAAATGCCTTTGAGGGCACCCCTTATAAAATGGAGCAGCGGGTGTAGACGCGCGCGTTTCGTCTGGGTGTGAGTAACCCAGACGAAACGCGTGCGTCAGGGGCTCAGGACGCCTAGTCAGCTACACCTCTGCTGTGGTATTTACACAGCAGCGATCTCACCAGCGAACTTGCTTTTACATCTAGGCATCCGTTCTTTTTAGTCCTGTATTCTGTCTACCAGTTTTGTATGGGGGGGTCAAGAGAGGCAGCATAGGCATTTAATAAGGGGTGCCCTCGAAGGCACTTAGACTTTTTACCAAAAAGCCAGCGTTAGGACTATTATACTCTCTATATTTTTTGATTACTACCAACAAATCCTAGCGGTCCACTGTCTCTTATATCTCCTGGTTCACAGGCATTGTTTTGTCTCTTTACTACTAGTGCAGTAGTTTTGCAACCACACTGGTGTGTCGTCTATTAACTACTGGAGCACAGAGGCATTTCTCCTATAGCCAGTAGACTCTTTGCTGCAGGAGAGTCTATAGGATGGATGCACTCTGCACATTTCGGTTACATTTACTATAACAAGTGTCATATTTTGAATTATAAAGTATCCTATTTTTTCTTACTGATACTCTTCTTGCTACATTTCTTATTGGAGGGTGTAGTTCCTGAGCCAGATCACAGGACATAGATTTAGCCTGGTGCTTTTTGTTTTTATCTTTGATATATTTTCATTTTATAGTAGATCTATTAAAAGTTATGTCTTATTGTCACAGTTGTAATGAACGTTATCGATCATGATGTTGAGACACTTACTGGTAGCTTTTTTCTTTTTGATTTAAATCGGTGTAGGTAGACAGTGTAGGTGCTGTTCCAAAATGAAAGGAGCCGCCCATAAAAAGTCCTGCAAGTACGAATTTGCAGTAAGAATGCGAGCAGCAGACAGGAGAAGGGCACAGGCAGAGTGGAGAGGCCGAGAAGGGACATACCTATGACTCCAAGAAGCAAGGTAACAGGAGCTGGAGTTTACAGGTAAGGGTTTATAGGTAAGGGTTAGTATTTTGACTTGACACCTATAGGATACAGGAAGCCAGCATAATGTTTACAGAGGGGAGAGGTATTGATGGAGCAGCGGGTGAGAAAGGTCATCCAGGCGGCAGCATTCATTGCAGATTGTAAGGGACAGATCAGCTTCTGGGAAGGCCAATTAGGAGTGAACAGGAATTAATGTGAGACATTAGTAGAGCATGAGCAAGCTCCTTAGCAGCTGCTTGCTTAATATAGGGCAGATGCGGGCAATGTTTTTAAATTGGAATCGACAGGATTTAGCAACAGACTGGACATAAAGCACAAAGGTGACCCCAGGATCAAAGATAACACCAAGACAGCAAGCTTGCAAGGATGGACTGATGCAGGTACCATCAACCTGCAGGAGAGCGTGAGAGGAGGATCAGTATTATAAGGAGGAAAAATAGGAAGCTTAGTTTTAGATAGACTGAGTTTCAGGAAGCGGTGACACGCTGTAGAACAGCGAGGGGGAGATCAGGGGAAGAGATATATTTGGGTGTCATCGATGTACAGATGGTAACGGAATCCAAACAAATTAATACTTTTGCCAAGAACAAAGAAAGAACAAAAAGGAGACCAAAAACAGAGCCTTGGAAGACTCCTACCAAGACAGGACATGGGGTGGTGTCATTGGAAAAGGAGACAATGAATGAACTTTAGGTGAGATAGGAGGCGAATCACAAGAGGACTATGTCACAGAAAGAGAGATTGAAGAGTTTTGAGGAGAAGGACATGAGCAACAGTGTTAAACGCGGCAGAGAGGTCAAGAGGAATTAGTATGGAGTAGTGGCCTTTGGATGTAGCCGCAGTTAGATTATCAACTTATATCAGAACGGTCTCAGAGTGGATGGAGTGGAAGCCAGATTGAAGAGGGTCAAGGAGAGCGTTGGAATTGAGGAAGCAATGTGTATGTGCATTCTGTAAAAACACAATTCCATTACACTGTTGTAGACTGGGAAGTAGGGCAATAGTATAGTTATTAGAAAGATATATAAATACATCACATATTTGATCTTTAAAGACACTTTCCTTTATTGACACCTTGACCCGCCTTACGCTGACTTTTTACACTTATTGTTCGGCGCTCCATGAGGACATGAATCAACAACACACGTGTGCTAGTAAGTAACTTCTAGGCATTGACTAGGTAGGTGGTTTACATAGTCAGTGGTGCTACACACAGCGGATCACATTCTTGAGGCTTTGCACCAAAGTATGAATTGTCATGTATTTAAAGTTAAGTTTAGATCGCAGTGGGCAAAAAAGATAAATTTAAATCAGCTGTTTCACTTTACTTAATATCTCAAATAGTGTTTGCTACCATTAGGTGTTCACTGTTTGAGTTATATTGATATTGGCAGATCATTTTATCGTGTGTATGTTTCTCATGCTTGTTTCCGCCAGCTTCTTCTGGAAGTAGGAAACAGGACACTTAATATATGCGCCCCGTGTGCGAGCTTGCTACAAGGAGTGAACACACTCCACCTCTATGAAATAATTCAAATACTTTTATTTAAAGGGAACTTCTAAACAACTTAATCACTACAGCTCCCAGCATTCTCAGTCACCATTGTGGAGGCTGGATGAAATGGACACTGACTATGCAGAAGAGAAAATTCAATTTATCAATGCAATCGAGGCCTTGTGGTCCCTGGGTGTTGAGGAGAGTCACATTTCTGTAAATCTGTTCCCATATGGTTTGAAAAAGAACAAGGATGGTGTCCAGAGACTGAATGAGCTACAGTGGTGCAATCTAGTTATACTTAATAGTCAGACATTTAGTATACTTGACCCTTTCGTGAGATTTCACTGAATCAGGAGACTATTGTAGATTCTGTATCTACAGTGTAATGAAGTACTCTTTCACATAGAAAGTCGATATAAGTACCTTTAAACTGGGTAATAGTAACATCCCGTCGATGTACTTGAAAACCAGAGAATAGGTGAATGTACCTTTCCTAGTTAAAAACACTGTTTTTTATTACGTTAGGAGGTCAATCACCCTCAAGATAATGCATCTGTCACCAGTATACAAAAAACAAATACCCTATTTTCTTCATATAGCCCCACTCCAAACTTGCACCTTGAGGAGAACACGCCACCAACTGTGGCATACTAAATCAACTCGCTACCCGCAAAGATGCTCCCGTTGTGCTGAACGCTTCTGGAGGAAGCCCCGCACCCAGTCTGACTCCCTCCACTACAAATTCATGTTTTGCGTTCATAGAGCACAGCCCTTGCCAAACAGTCATACTTTTCCTCCGTCATTAGCTCATTCTCTCGCAATCCCAGGCGTCTTTTTAATACCTTTAACTCCCTTCTTTACCCTGCTGTGGCCACCCCCTAAACTAACCTTACAGCCGATAGTTTTGCATGCTACTTTACCAACAAGATTGAACAGCTAAGGAAAGAATTCTCAGCACCTTGCCCCTCTCTTGCTCAACCACACCTGGATCATGCCTTTCCTACCCTTCAGACTTTCTCCCAGGCTACTGAACAAGAGGTGACTGAGCTTCTCCTTTCCTCTCGCCCCACAACTTGCCCACTTGATCCTGTCCCATCTCACCTTATCAGATCTCTCTCCCCTTGTCTTGTGCCTTCCTTAACGCACATCTTCAATCTCTCTCTCTCTCTTTTGGCGTTGTACCTGCTGACCTTAAACATGCTACTGTAGTACCAATCTTTAAAAAGAATAAATCTCTTGACCCGTCCTCCCCTTCTAACTATCGTCCCATATCCCTGCTCCCTTTTTCCCAAAGCTTCTGGAAAGACTTGTCTTTGCCCATCTGACTTGTTTCCTCAATTCCAACTCTCTCCTTGACCCTCTTCAGTCTGGCTTCCACCCCTTCACTCTACTGAGAATGCTCTCATTAAAGTCATTATCTACCTAATCACAGCTAAATCCAAAGGGCACTTCTCCATACTAATTCTTCTTGACCTCTCTGCTGCCTTTGACACTGTTGACCATGTTCTCCTTCTCCAAACTCTTTAATTACTCGGTCTCTGTGACACTGTCCTCTCTTGGTTTTCCTCCTATCTCTCCCAACGCTTATTCAGTGTCTCTTTTTCTAATGATACCTCCTCCCTCTGTCCTTTCTCTGTTGGAGTCCCGAGGCTCTGTACTTGGTCCCCTTCTATTTTCACTTTATACTGTCTCTCTTGGCAAAATTATTACCTCATTTGGATTCCAATATCACCTGTACGCTGACGACACTGAGATATTCCTCTCCTCCCCCTCTAAAACGGAACTCCTTGTCTTTCCTCCTCCTAATACTGATCCTCCTCTTTCACTCTCCCTTCAAGTTAGTGGTACCCACACCTGTGCATCCTTGCAAGCACGCGGTCTTGGCTTTATAATTATGGCCTCACATCCATTGTGTTACCAAATCCTGTAGACTCCACCTTAAAAACATAGCCCGCATCCGCCCCTTTCTTACACAAGATTCTGCTAAAGAGCTTAACCAGACATTTCCCTGAACTCCAACCTTTTCAATACTCTTTTTGCAGACAATACTCACAGCAAGCACTGTAAAGATACATTCTGTGTGCCAGCATCTATGGTACATGGTTTTGTAACTTGTCCATTAGAAGAGATCTTGCACTGTAAGGCAGAAAGAACGTGAACTGCTCTAGTAATTTTCCTCATGGATTATTGTAACCCTCTCCTAATTGGTCTTCCCAAAAGCCGTATTGCTCTGCTACAGTCTGTAATGAATGCTGCCGCCAGACTGATTTTCCTCTCCTGTCGCTCTTCTCACATCTCTCCCCTCTTTCAGTACTTACATTGGCTTCCTGTATCCTATAGGAGTCAATTCTAGGTACTAAGCCACACCTATCACTGACGTATTTTAGCCCCTCATAGCTCTTCACTGATCCGCAGGTATTCCCCCTATTTGGTCTCTCCCTGTGACCATCTCCTGTCCGCTGCTCGCACCCGTACGGCCAATTCACGCTTGCAGGACTTCTCGCGGTCGGCTTCCATACTTTGGAATAGCCTGCTTACGACCAAGCTCTTCCCTAGTCTTCAATCTTTTAAAAAGTGCCTTAAAACCCATCTCTTTAGGAAAGCTTATGGCCTCCTAGATTAACCTCTACCTCACACACGTCTCTTGCTCTCTCCTAAAGGGCAGCACTCTACTCTCTCCTTCAGCTCTGCTTCACTCCACCTTGTTTGATTGCCACCTCCTGTCCTGTTGGGTTTTAAGCCTCACCTCCTATAGAATGTAAGCTCGTTTGAGCAGGGCCCTCTTCAACCTATTGACCCTTTAAGTTTTCGTAATTGTCTTATTTATTGTTAAATCTCCCCCTTTGATAAAATTGTAAAGCACTACGGACTATGCTGGCGCTATATAAATACCAGTAATAATAATATAGATAAGAAATATCCAAACTGGGACATAGTGAACAGAAACACCCAGAAAAGTTTAAGCTTTACGTGTTTCATGGCCAAAGGCCCTTCATCAGACTCATAGTGGTTATGTTGATAAGAGATCCCTTAAAATCAAGTAGTTCCTAACATAGTCCATGGTTTAGACCAGTGATGGCGAACCTGTGGCACGCGGGGCCCTTTCTGTGGGCACGCGGCCACAGGTTCGCCATCACTGCAGAGTAGGCGCCTGCCTGCCCGAAACGGCAGGCGCCTACTCTGCTTCCGGGTCTGGAGGCAGTGGGAGGGCTCTGTGATGCAGCTCCCCTGTCCTCCCGCGCGATGCTGTGTGGAGCGTTGCCGCGCGTTACCATGGCAACGCTCCACACAGCATTGCGCAGGAGGACAGGGGAGCTGCTTCCTGGAGCCCTCCCCCTGCAGTGCTTACCACCACCGGACCACCAGGGATGGCTGTGTGTCCCCCCCCCCACTTCATTAAAGGTAAGAAGGAGGGAGGGGGGTTATACTGACACACAGCACCCTTACCCCCCCAGCAGTAACCCCTACCCTCCCCAGCAGTAACCCCTACCCACCCAGCAGTAACCCCTACCCCCCCAAGCAGTAACCCCTGCCCAGCAGTAACCCCTGCCCAGCAGTAACCCCTACCCTCCCCAGCAGTAACCCCTACCCTCCCCAGCGGTAACCCCTACCCCCCATACACAGGTACCCCTACCCCCTACACAGTGCCCTACCCCCCAGCGGTAACCCCTACCCTCCCCAGCAGTAGCCCCTGCCTGCCCAGCGGTACCCCCTACCACCACCTCCCCAGCGGTGCCCCTACCCCCCATACACGGTACCCTACCCCCCCAGCAGTAACACCTACCCTCCCCAGCGGTAACCCCTACCTGCCCGGCAGTACCCTACCACTCCCCAGCAGTAGCCCCTACCCTCCCAGCAGTACCCCCTGCCCCAGCACGGGTACCCCTACCCCCCAGCGAGGTACCCCAGCCCTCCCAATGGTACCCTACCCCAGCAGTGCCCCCTGCCAGCCACACAGTGCCCCCTACCCCACACACAGTGCCCCAGCCCTCCCCAGCGGTACCCCTACCCCCACACACGGTGCCCCTACCCCCACACACACGGTGCCCTACCCCCACAGGTGCCCCCTGCCCCACCCACAGTGCCCCACCCCCACAGGTACCCCTACCCCCGCCGCACGGTGCCCCTACCCCTCAGCGCCGCCCACTGCATATGGCACACACACACACACACACACACACACACAGCACCCCCCACCCCAGCTTCCCCCCACACAGCTTACTCACACACACACGGCACCCCCCACCTCAGTACGGTATGTGTGTATTCAATGATCTGTGTGTGTGGCGTGTAATTCAACCCAATGTGTGTGTGTCGCGTATATTCAGCAGTCTGTGTGTGTGCGTGTATTCAGCGGTCTGTGTGTGTGTGCGTGTATTCAGCGGTCTGTGTGTGTGTGCGTGTATTCAGCAGTCTGTGTGTGCGTGTACTCAGCGGCCTGTGTGTGCGTGTACTCAGCGGCCTGTGTGTGCGTGTACTCAGCGGCCTGTGTGTGCGTGTACTCAGCGGCCTGTGTGTGCGTGTACTCAGCGGCCTGTGTGTGCGTGTACTCAGCGGTCTGTGTGTGCGTGTACTCAGCGGTCTGTGTGTGCGTGTACTCAGCGGTCTGTGTGTGCGTGTACTCAGCGGTCTGTGTGTGCGTGTACTCAGCAGTCTGTGTGTGCGTGTATTCAGCAGTGTGTGTACTCAGCAGTCTGTGTGTGTGTGTGTACTCAGCAGTCTGTGTGTGTGTGTGTACTCAGCAGTCTGTGTGTGTGTGTGTCTGTACTCAGCAGTCTGTGTGTGTGTGTGTGTACTCAGCAGTCTGTCTGTATGTGTATTCATCAGTCTCTGTATTCAGCAGTCTTGTGTGTGTGTATTCAGCAGACTGTGTGTATGTATTCAGCAGTCTGTCTATATATGTATTGCATTTGTTGGAGATACTAATAAATATAAGCTTAATTTTATCTATTTATATCATTATTTAAAATTTGTATCATTGAACTCTCTGTGTTCTTTTAAAACAAAAGTTATTAGTTCGGACAACAGTACGAGTTTTTTTTTTTCTAAACTTAAACCTCAGTATTTGGGTTTAATTGCCGTGTTGGCACTTTAAGGAGAAAATTTTTTGGCATGTATTGCGGTTTGGGCACTCGGGCTCAAAAAGGTTCGCCATCACTGGTTTAGACATTGCCAAATTCGGTTTCACTGGGCATAATGACCTAACCAGGGTGGCAGGTTGAGAAGCACAGTCACCTTAAATGTGACAGCCCAAGACACCTACTTCAAACCCATTAGGAGAACTAAAATGGTTGTTTTATGAACTTTATTATATCTATTTACATGTAGTCAAACTTCAGCAATTATATATATATTTATATATGTAAAGTTTATTTACATACAACAGAGAAATTTCAACATGGAAGGTGGAGTTTATAAAGAATCAGAAAAAGGACAGCAAGTATGAGAACAAGGATAAAATATGAAGGTGGGATGTCAGGATACTCTCCCAAATTACACTGGACACTCCCCTACTTAATAAGACCCTGTCCAATTGAACCCCTCCCAATATTTTTTTTTCTTCAATCTATCACACTAGTCAGTCACCCCTGTAAAAATGTAGGGGCGGAGTAACGGATTAATGCCCTATTCTGCTTGCCTGCGTATGTCCCATGCACAATGCATTCTGGAACAGATTAACCAGCAAGCTGTACTGTGGTGCCAGAGCTAGGCAGTAGTAGGTAATATAGTACATATCACAATTTGATAGACAAAGTATGAGTCTATTTAAATAATATGATACCGAGGGCCCATGGGAGGAGCAAGACATACCTAATGAGGAAGCAATGACATACATTGGGAAGGGGTACACTCCTAGATTTATTACACAATAAGATTAGGCACCAGCAGTAACATTTCTAGGAACCCATCAAGCCTTGATTTACCGTTTCAGACGGTTACAAATTGCACTTAGTTTGGCAGCACTGTCACTTTTTTAGATTCTTATAAACCCCATACATGAGTTGGTGCAGACACAAGAAAACACAACCAGACAGGTGTGTGCTCACATCCGAGGCACCATATGTGCAAATCCTAATAATTGGAACATTTTACCCATTTCCATCAAGGCCATTGTCCCCTTTCAAACAGTGCAGAGAGATAAATATGGTACTATAGACCTACGTGAACATGCAGCGGTTTGTCTCATCAAATCTAGGAGTGTGGTGGCTCTGTCATGCAGATATAAACATTATATGGATCCATCCACCTTAAAACTAAAATCAAATGACCTAAAGGGCCTGAGGTGCTCTGCTAGAACCAGCTCAATGTACCATTCATAGACCACAAAGTAAAGACACTTTCTGCATCAGCACACAGGCTAGCTACCAAGCCGCTGTCTGATACTGCAATATGTGTGGGATTGAGCATCTAATAGTCCAGTAACCAGCTTTGTCATTAACTGCAATGGAAACTCAGCGCTATCAGTACACCTTTACACCGATGGTGCCATGCGCTACATGTTTACAAAGTAAATTCCAGGCCCATGTCCAGTTTGGGTAACTCCCATTGCCCAGAGTTGTCCTTGATTTGTAATCTAAGGTTATAAAAATCTGTGTGGAGCTGGTAAAACACAACATGACCATCCCAAGATTTAAATGATTGTAACATTCTGGCCATGTTTCTACAAGCATGCAGCAAATCACACATAGTAAAATAAAACAAAATAATACCCTTTTATAGTCCCTCAGGGCTGAATTCAGATATAATGGATCCCTAGGCAAGATAGTGAAGTACCATTACATTTACAGAATCTTTGGTGCTGATGGAAGTGCCCCATAACCACAGCTTAAATCCAGCTATTGACACTCAAATAAATTGAGTGTCTGAAGACACATTTACACGTATGGGCAAATCAAGTGCAGCTGAATTTTAACCAGACATTTCCCTGAACTCCAACCTTTTCAATACTCTTTTTGCAGACAATACTCACAGCAAGCACTGTAAAGATACATTCTGTGTGCCAGCATCTATGGTACATGGTTTTGTAACTTGTCCATTAGAAGAGATCTTGCACTGTAAGGCAGAAAGAACGTGAACTGCCCCCTAAGGCTACACTCCAAGCACTAAGGCAATCTATTGCAAATGTCTAACCTCCCTCCCCCAAAGTGAGGGCCCCCCCAGCATGCTCCATTTCATCTATGTGTATAAGTACTCACTGAAACATACACACCCTGTAAAAAAATAATTAGTTAAAACTTAAATGACCGTTAACCCTCAGTGTTCCAAAGAAGACAGCCTGTGTTTGTTGTACCTTTGGCACTCGATGGGTTTCACCTAAAAGCAGCACTTTGGAAAGATGTAACTGAACTGCACAACCACTGAGGAGCACACGCTCACATGCACTCTCCTCTGAGTGTTACTTACAGGACATAGCTACCTGAGCCTGAGATAGAGTTCTATTTTCTTCTACTTGGTTTACAGACACTGACAAACACACAGAAAATATCCTAATACTGCCCAAGGGCCAGTGCTATTGACTACAAGGCTCTGTTCCCCTGGGTAACAAGATTGAGGTGGCAGTCTTGACATGTTACATCTGTTACCATGATTATCTGGTTAGAATTAAGCTTTACAAAAAGCAGAGGCTTGACACTTACTTGGTCATACCCAGCGTTGCTATAGCATACAGAGCATGCACTCCCTCATCAGACCTGAAACAAGAGGATGTTATCACTGGACAAGGGGCATCCTCTCAGCTACCTATATTACAGGTTAAAAGCAGCATGTTTTCAGCATATATATATATCCCCTTTCTATATATAGATATACACACACACCTAGGCTTATTTATATATGTATAGTTATACACAGGTCTCCATATATATCTGTAGGACACTACCACTGCAGGGTACGACTAGTATGTCCCCGGCTTCTTCCTATGCTGCAGGCAAGGACACTAATCCTTCCCGCATCATGACTGTGCAAAACACAATGGATGAACATAATGTAAACATCTCAATCCAAGTGACTCCGGGCTAGAACTAGCCGGGGAGGGCCAGGAAATAGTTTGTGCTTCAGAGACTTGTCCTCTGTGTTAAAAATCAGCACCATGGTTCCCGCGATGAACGTCCTCGGCACAGGCTGTCACTGCGTTGCCAGGAGCTATGGATAAGTGCCAGAGCATCCTCACACTTTTTTTGGGCATCTTCAGGTATATGTCTTTGGGGAAGGTCAACCTAAAATACACATCAGTGTTAAAACCATCACATTGTACCTGCCTCATAAATGTACAAAACCTGAGCTTTAAACTTGGGACCTGGCTAACCTTCGTGTTTACTCACACCCAGGGCCTGGCCAATTTCTGCCCCGCTCTAATGATTTACACCCAGGGCCTGGCCAATATCTGTCCCGCTCTAATGATTTACACCCAGGGCCTGGCTGATATCTGCCCCGCTCTAATGATTTACACCCAGGACCTGGCCAATATCTGCCCCGCTCTAATGATTAACACCCAGGGCCTGCTTAATATCTGTCCCGCTCTAATGATTAACACCCAGGGCCTGCATAATATCTGCACCTAATGATTTAAGAGACAGACACTCTATGCACCAAACCAACTACAATGTTGTTTAGGTGTCATCTGCCAGCTTTCTTTTCACTCATTTTAAAGCAGTTTATCATTAGGCACTAAGAGCACTGGGCTATTCTGAAAGAGAATCTGCAGCATTATATATGAGCAAAAGGCAAGAAGCCATGCTTGTACATGTATAGGTAGCTTTAGATTTTGCCAAGTTGCCCCAAAATGGTTTGACAGAAAACAATGGAACAGTGCCCAAAGACTCATTGCACTAAAGCCACTATAATCAGCCGCAGAGTAGCCATTCAATACATTGGGCCTGGGTGATAGCACTGGGTCCAGACAAGATCTGCATACATTCAATGATTTAGTGGCTGCATAACAAAATGTACAGTTTATTGGTGATAAAGGTTTGTCTGAAAGGAGATTCTGAAATGAATGCTACAGCTACAGAGCAGAATTCTATTAAACCACATTATTCACTTATTACCCTATATACCCTACCTGGTATATCTCCTTCCAGGCAGATCTCAGAGCAGATCTAAACCTCTCCAGCTCTTGTCTGCAGCTGAAGTACAGGACCCAAGGTGGCGGGGAAGGACCATGATCTAAAGTGAACTCCTGCAAAGCAAAGTCAAAACTTTGTTTAAAATACAATGCATTGTGTTAAAAAATAAATATAGAGATCAGCGCACTCTCTTATGGATCTACTGCATGTTGTTTACTGGTATAGAATATCTTTACCATGCAGGATTTCTTCATATGAGTCTGCAGAATGAATATGGTCTGAATAAATGTGAATCGTAAATTATATGTATGATGGAAAACGAGGGGGCTGAAATATTTATGGGATGTAAGTAGAAGTTTTGTAACTCAAATCATGACAGAAAACAAAACTATCTAATAATTGATGACCCAAAGTTTTCCAATACAGCTTATAGAATGGTATTGGGAAACAGAATACTCAAGTAGAATGTAGAATGGTATTGGGAAATATAATGTAGAACAGTATTGGGAAATAATATTTTATTATTTATATAGCGCCATCAGACTCCGTAGCGCTGTACAATGGGTGGACTAACAGACATGTAATTGTAACCAGACAACTGGACGTACAGGAACAGAGGGGTGGAGGGCCCTGCTCCATGAGCTTACATTCTAGAGGGAGTGGGGTATAGTGACACAAAGGATAAAAGTAGGGGTACCAAGTAGGTTGTTAGAAAAGTATTAATTGAGGGCTTATTAGGTTATTTTTTGCTTTCTTGAAGAAGTGAGTTTTCAATGATTTTTTTGAATGAGTGCAGACTGGGTAAAATTCTTACGGAGAAGGGAAGGGAATTCCACAGAAGAGGTGCAGCTCTGGAAAAGTCTTGGAGGTGAGCGTTAGAGGTGGGAGTATGGACAGAGGATAGACGTAGGTCTTTGGCAGAGCGTAGGGGCCTCGACAGGACATACTTGTGTATTAGGGAGGATAGGTAGGTTGGAGCAGCATTATGTAGGGACTTTTAAACAAGCACCAGAATTTTTAATTGAGCTCTATATCTAACTGGAAGCCAATGCAGGGACTGACAGAGCGGGGAGGCATGAGAGGTGCGGGCGGACAGGAAAATGAGCCTCGCTGCCACATTTATTATAGAGTGCAGCGGTGCAATCTGGGAACACGTAAGACCACTGAGAAGAGTACTGCAGTAGTCCAGGCGAGAGAGAACAAGAGCATGGGCCAGCACCTTAGCCGCATCTGGGGTTAAATAGGGCGGATGCGTGCTATGATTTTGAGATAGAAGCGAAAGGATTTGACGATTGATTGGAAATGAGGGGTGAAGGAGAGGTTGGAGTCAAAAATAATACCCATGCAGCAAGCCTGCGAGGTAAAGGTGACGGTAGCGCCGTTGACTTGGAGGGAGACAGACACGGGAGTAGTAACACTTGAGGGAGGAAAGACCAGAAGTTCTGTTTTAGACAGGTTGAGTTTAAGGAAGTGAGCAGCCATTCATTTGGAAATCGAAGAGAGGCAGTCAGAGACACGAGTCAAGACGGGTGGAGAGAGATCAGGAGAGGACAGGTAGATTTGCGTGTCATCCGCATAAAAAAATGATAACGGAAGCCAAAGGAGCTAATGAGTTTAACAAGGGAGGCAGTGTAGATAAAGAACAGTAGGGGACTAAGGACAGAACCTTGGGGAATGCTAACATAGACAGGTTGGGAGAAGAGGCAGAGCCAGAGAAAGAAACACTGAAAGCGCTGGGAGAGGAAGGAGGAGCACCAGGAGAGAGCAATATCTCATAGACCAAGATTACGGAGAATGAGAAGAAGCTGTTGATGATCAACAGTGTCAAAGGCAGCAGAAAGATCAAGGAGAATTAGGATAGAGTAATGGCCGTGAGATTTAGTCGCAATTAAATCGTTGAATACTTTGGTCACAGCCGTTTCGAAAGAATGACCAGCGCGGAATACAGACTGAAGGGGGTCAAGCAGAGAGTTGGTTTCGAGAAAGTCAGTCAGTCTGGTGTACACAACGCTCTCGAGGATCTTGGAGGCAAATGGCAGTAGCGAGATAGGGCGGTAGTTGGATGGGGAGTTGGGGTCAAGGCTGGGCTTTTTCAGAATTGGGGTTACCGTTGCGTGTTTGAAGGGTGAGGGAAATGTGCCAGAGAAAAGGGAGAGATTGAAAATTTTAGTGAGGGGAAGAGCAAGAGAGGGAGACATAGTGCAGATGAGATATGAAGGAATAGGATCAAGGGAACGGGTGGTGGGGCGTGAGGACCGGAGCAGATCAGAAACCTCTTCTGCTGTAGCAGGTGAGAATGAGTGGAGAGTGGTGGAGGGAGTGGGGTTGGGTGATGTAATGGTAGGGAAAGGAGAGAAATTAGCGATCTCTTCTCTGATTGTAGAGATCTTCTCAGTGAAGTGAGATGCAAAGTTTGTGGCGGACAAGGTGGTAGAAGAAGGGGGATTAACAGGGCGAAGAAGAGCATCAAAAGTGTGAAATAGGTGTTTGGGTTGATGGGACAGTTTACTTATGAGGGTATTAAAGTAATGTACTTTTGCAGCAGAGAGAGCCAAACTGGAGGAGCGCAGCATAAATTTATAGTGGAGGTAAAGTGAGACTTTCTCCAGCAGCGTTCAGCAGTTCTAGAACATTTTTGGAGGTAACGGGTCAGTTTGGTGTGCCAGGGTTGTAGTTGGGGGCGCTTGCTGCATTTAATTGTAGGAGGTGCCATGATGTTGAGTTGAGAGGAGAGAGTGGAGTTGTAGAGTGAGGTAGCAGAGTTAGGGCAAGTTAGATTTGAGATGGGTAAGAGGAGAGTATTGAGTTTGGTGGAGAACTGCTGGAGATCAAGGCAGTTGAGGTTTCTGCGAGATTGGAGTCTTGAGGGTGGTGAAATTTTGGTACGGGGTATGCTGATGTCAAAAGTTAGTAGATGGTGGTCAGACAAAGGAAATGGAACAGTGGAGAGTTTAGAGGTGGTACAGAGATTGGTGAAGATGAGGTCAAGAGTGTTTCCTGCTGTATGAGTTGCTGAAGTCGACAACTGCGTGAGGCCAAAGGAGGAGGTTACAGAGAGCAGACGGGAGGCATCAGTTGTTGTTGATTGGGATGTTAAAGTCCCCAAGTATGAGAAAGGGAGGGCTAGAGGATAGAAAGTGGGGCAGCCAGGAAGAAAAGTGTTCAATGAATAGCCTAGGATGACCGGAGGGGTGATTGATGATGGCAATTCTTAAAGGAGTGGGCTTAAAAAGGCAGACAGTGTGAACTTGAAAATAAAGAAAAGGGCAGGGGCAGGGAGGATAGGTTGAAACGTACATTGAGGGGAAAGAAGGATGCCTACACCGCCTCCTTTTCCGTCGCGTCTGGGAGAATTGTAGTCCACCGAAACATAAAGAAGCGGGAGTAGCGGTATCAGCAGGGGACAGACAGGTTTCAGTGAGTGCCAATAATGTGAGTGAGTTAGAGATGACAAGGTCGTGTATGGTTGTTGACTTAATAATACTACAGATGGAACGGGCGTTCCAGAGTGCACACTGAATGTTGGTAAAGGAGGATAAACTGCAGGGTATGTGAATGAGGTTTGTATGGTTTCTGGTCGTCTTGGTGTGAGCAGACGAGGTGAAGGGCCCTGGGTTGGGTGAGACATCACCAGCTGCTAGAAGTAGAAGGAGAGATAGTAACAGAAGGTGTGAGTGGGTTTTATATGAGCAGGGTCTAGAATGATATTGAGTTAGAGCAGGAGAGAGAGAGAATAGAGAAATGAGAGAAGGGGGGAGTGAAGCAGAGAGGGAATAATGTTAATGTAATTGTGTTGTTGAGGGAAGTGGGTGTAAGGAGATATTTTGGTGCTGAGATGAGAGAAAAGGAGATGATAGAGCATTGCATATAATGTAGAACGGTATTGGGAAATAGCATACTCATGTAGAATGGTATTGGTGAAATAAAACGTAGAATGGTATTGGGAAATATAATGTAGAACGGTATTGGGAAATATAATGTAGAACGGTATTGGGAAATATAATGTAGAACGGTATTGGGAAATGGAATACTCATGTAGAACGGTATTGGGAAATGGAATACTCATGTAGAACGGTATTGGGAAATAGCATACTCATGAAGAATGGTATTGGTGAAATAGAATGTAGGACGGTATTGGGAAATAGCATATAGAATGGTACTGGGAAACCGAATACTCATGGTCACTCACCACAATACAGTACTCCTTCCGATCTTCTGTGCTCAGGGATGAAACATCTTGCAGTTCTGTGATGCCTAGTGCTCTGAAGAAGCTGGTCTGGCAATCCTGGTGACAGGTAATGAGTTTGTCCTGGGTGAGCACCACACAGCATGGAAGACAAGGAGAGGGTACAATACCTGGGGGTATAACCTGCGGATACACAAACATTACTATGTAGTTTCACCTTTCTTTTTGGCCCAACAATCCCCACTAGGCATTTTGACTAACAGGGCTGTCCAAAGATCTCATATGTTAAGAATAAGACAACTTACCCCTTTAGACACAGCTTGGCACAAATGCAGCATCCAGTCTGCCATCTCCTCTTCGTTTGCAGCACTTAACTCAAGAGATGGTTTGTCGCTGAGGATTATTTGAAAAGAGTGGGGTCTTTCTGTTGAGTTAGCACGCCGGCAACCACCACACTGCTCCCCCCTAAAAGAAAGCACCGCAGAGGCTTCACTTAAACATTTGCCCCCTTGACAGTTGAGGCAATTCTCCAACCTCTGATCCAAAACAAAGCATAGCATTTGTGCTATGTGTTTGACCCTTAATTTAAGGATTTCTATTTACAGTATCTCACAAAAGTGAGTACACCCCTCACATTTTTGTAAATATTTTATTTTATCTTTTCATGTGACAACAATGAAGAAATGACACTCTGCTACAATTAGCAAGTGTACAGCCTGTATAACAGTATAAAGTAGTAAGTGTACAGCCTGTATAACAGTATAAATTTGCTGTCCCCTCAAAATAACAACACACAGCCATTAATGTCTAAACCATTGGCAACAAAAGTGAGTACACCCCTAAGTAGAAATGTCCAAATTAGGCCCAATTAGCCATTTTCCCTCACCGGAGTCATGTGACGCGTTAGTGTTACAAGGTCTCAGGTGTGAATGTGGAGCAGGTGTGTTAAATTTGGGGTTATCGCTCTCACACTCTCTCATACTGGTCACTGGAAGTTTAACATGGCACCTCAGGGCAAAGAACACTCTGGGGGTCTGAAAAAAAGAATTGTTGCTCTAAATAAAGATGGCCTAGGCTATAAAAAGATTGCCAAGACCCTGAAACTGAGCTGCAGCACGGTGGGCAAGACCATACAGCGGTTTCACAGGACAGGTTCCACCAAGAACAGGCCTCGCTATGGTAGACCAAAGAAGTTGAGTGCACGTGCTCAGCGTCATATCCAGAGGTTGTCTTTGGGAAATAGACATATGAGTGCTGCCATCATTGCTGCAGAGGTTGAAGAGGTGGGGGGTCAGCCTGTCAGTGCTTTGCTTTAGACCATACGCCACACACTGCATCAAATTGGTCTGCATGGTTGTCTTCCCAGAAGGAAGCCTCTTCTAAAGATGATGCACAAGAAAGCCCATAAACAGTTTGCTGAAGACAAGCAGACTAAGGACATGGATTACTGGAACCATGTCCTGTGGTCCGATGAGACCAAGAAATTTATTTGGTTCAGATGGTGTCAAAATGTGTGTGGGGGGGCGGGGCCGGGCCGCCGGGCCGAGTGGACGCCATTAACATGAGCTCCTGCACTAAGCGGATAAAAAAGGCACTAAAACACTCACCCCAGACTGCCTAACTATGCTATACTCTGCCAGATTCAAACAGAGAACGGCACCAGCTTACCCCCGATACCTGCACGATGCACACCGCAAGCCAGGCAAGCAGAGAGGGCCGGGACCGGCCTACACGAGGCAGAGCGCCAGAATACCGGCGGCCATTACAGGCAGCACGGCGCTGCGGAGCAGAGAACAGAGGCATCCCGCTATAGACACCTAGACAGGGGGAGATACGCGGCCCGGGGCACGGCCCTGCCCCCCCCCCCTTTTTTGGCCGGCGGGGGATATCCCGGCTTCCAGGTGGAGGCACGGGTCGCAGCGGGAGTCCCCGTGGGGTCCGGATGCCGACCGCCTGCACTGGCACCGGCTGCAAGACACTCAGCCAGCCAGCAACATTGGAGGTGCCCGCGGAGGGGCTGAAACACTCACCCGAGGAGGCACCCAGATCGGTGGCAAGAAGGCTTAGACCCACACGGGAGAGCACCATTCTGCGCCCCTACACTGGCAAAGGCTGCCAAGATGAGGCCCACCAAGAAAATGGAACACAGGGACTGAGGAGGCAGACACGATGGAGAAAGTGCACCATGACAGAGGAGAAATGAGCTGGTGGGGGCCCAGAAGGTGAAGTGGAACAACGCACTCACTAGGGGGGTCTGGCATGGACTGCTCATACAGGCACAGGCGAAGCTGACGCCAGATGGAACCTCCGCGCTTACCCTGCACCCGCTGGAGCAGTGAGTTCCCCGGCATCTGGGTATGGGGGTCCCCGGAGAGCTATGTCCCCGCTGCCGTGAGCCCTGTGGGGCAGGAGTGTGCTGCCCTTCCGGCGGACCGGTGGCCGTGGGATACGCATACCGGCCCCAAGAGTGAGGCCGACAGCGGGAGAGACTTGGGGGAACACACTCTTTGTGGAACGACACGGTGTTGGGGAGGTGCAGGGGGCGGGCGGGCCACAGACTTTGTGGTGGGGTCGAGTGGACGGCCTCAGCCCTTGGGTGCCCACGGCACAGTGGAGGACACAGCCAGCGGACTGGAGTAGGTGGGGAGAGGACGGAAGGAGGTTCGGCAACCCTGGGACCGTGCTGTAGCAGAGGCATACCAGACCAGGGACTGTCACACAGGACGACATCCCATGCTAAAGAGCCCCTAAGGGCATAAGTCTAATGCCGTTAATTAGAGCTTGTCTAACCGAACTGCAACATAAGATACTCAGACTCTAACTTCACGACACAGCCTACATACTACACCAATAGCTACAGCTAGTATCAGATTGATAAGTAATATAGTGTCTATACTATTCGATAATTAAGATGTTTTAATGTGAATAAGTATATGGTTTCTTGCTTTGCATTGCCCCCTGAGGCATTTGTTCACTGATGTTGCATAATGTTTATTACACTATAAACGGTATAAAGCTTGCCCATAACGAAGACCTGCTCCGATTAAATACCTGAGCTAAATGGGCGTAAAACAGTTATTCCTAATACCCAAGTTAGAGTCACAATAGACTAAGCGCTACTTGAGCACATCACATGATAGGTCTCATGTACCTAATCACTCGGGGTATAAATCCACAAGGTAACACGTCGCCCTCATACACTCGCTGCATAATTACCTACAGATACTAATGCATATGTTGATTATGTAAATGCATGTACTGCAACTCAAACCAGAATATGTTCTCCACGCTACATGGCTTCAGCGGACATAGGCTGCATGTTAGCCATAGTAATCAAATTACTGGCAAACCAAATGCGAATATGGCATGTGGTACAACTTATATTGGAATTGTCTACATAATTACATAGGGTTACGTATACTGAAAGCTTTACCACAGGCTTAGTTAGACACAATTTGACCGCATAGTGACATATTAGGCCCCATCTTGAACTCAGCCGACGCAGAGGGGAAAAAAAAACAAAACAAAAGAAAAACATATTTCAAGTGTACCACATTCTAGGGCTATAACATGCTATGATAAACTCATGTTTTTCCATAACAAATGCATTGTTTACGCTATACCCCCTGCGTGGGAAAACTGCTTAGTGTGTTGACCTCAATAAAAACAGATTTAAAACAAAATGTGTGTGGCGGCAACCAGGTGAGGAGTACAAAGAAAGTGTGCCTACAGTCAAGCATGGTGGTGGGAGTGTTATGGTCTGGGCCTGCATGAGTGCTGCCGGCACTGGGGAGCTACAGTTTATTGAGGGATCCAGGAATGGCAAAATATTGACACTTTGGGCCCAATTTGGACATTTACACTTAGGGGTGTACTCACTTTTGTTGCCAACGGTTTAGACATCAATGGCTGTGTGTTGAGTTATTTTGAGGGGACAGCAATGTTACACTGTTATACAGGCTGTACATTTACTACTTTACATTGTAGCAGAGTGTAATTTCTTCAGTGTTGTCCCATGAAAAGATATATTATATATTGTTGTTTTTTTTTGTTTTGTTTTTTTTAAAGACAGAAATTGATTTTATTATTCTATATGTATACATTGTACAATGTTAAATGTGAATAAAATGTTAGAAATGGGGGGGAGGGGGGGGAAACATTTTTCACCGTTTTACTTATTGTATATTTTACACATCGAGTGCAATTAAACAACAACAAACAAAAAACTCAAAATAGATTCACTTATCAGTCCCGATTCTGTCTTGTATATCAAGGATCTGAATACAGTTTTGGTTGTCAATACTAACCCTACACCTAATGCTATGCCTATACTAAACCTTACACTATCCCTAACAACATTAATTCTTACACCAACACTAACTCAGAGGGATTCTCTCTATTGATGTCTATACTGACATAAGGACAGATGTTTCTTGGCTAACACAGTACAGTACTATCTGTGAGCACCTTCTCATGCTGCAGCTCCTGCATGCTGTCCCTGCTGATCATATAGTGACCAGTTCTGGCATGTAGGGAGACCCTGTTGGGCTGGGTTCTTACATAGAACCTTGGCTTCCAAGTTATCACTGTGACTGAATATGGACCCAGCTGACATGTGGGAGCCCAGGTATTGATTAAAGGACCACTCTAGGCACCCAGACCACTTCAGCTTAATGAAGTGGTCTGGGTACCAGGTCCTTCTAGGGTTAACCCATTTTTTTATAAACATAGCAGTTTCAGAGAAACCGCTATGTTTATGAATGGGTTAAGCCTTCCCCTATTTCCTCTAGCGGCTGTCTCATTGACAGCCACTAGAGGCGCTTGCGTGCTTCTCACTGTGATTTTCACAGTGAGAGCACGCCAGCGTCCATAGGAAAGCATTATGAATGCTTTCCTATGTGACCGGCTGAATGCGCGTGCAGCTCTTGCCGCGCGTGCGCATTCAGCCAACGGGGAGGAGAAGAGGAGGATCGGAGGAGGAGAGCTCTCCGCCCAGCGCTGGAAAAAGGTAAGTTTTAACCCCTTTCCCCTTTCCAGAGCCGGGCGGGAGGGGGACCCTGAGGGTGGTTGTCAATACTAACCCTACACCTAATGCTATGCCTATACTAAACCTTACACTATCCCTAACAACACCCTCTTTATATGAGGGTGGGGGCACCCTCAGGGCACTATAGTGCCAGGAAAATGAGTATGTTTTCCTGGCACTATAGTGGTCCTTTAATAACTTGGTCTCCCCAGTATGAGCAGGGGTTTAACTCTTTTTGCATCAAAGCTTAAGGACCTTTCATGCCATCCTAACTTTTAAAGCCTTGACATGTCCTAATGTCTTTAAAGGGGTTAAAGGGACTGTAATGAGAAAACAAAATACACCCAATTTTTAGCACCTTATACCAAACATGACCTTTTCAAGGCTACTCTAAATCTTCTTAATGGAATGCAAGCAGAACAAGAGAGATAAAACCCCCAACTTACCCCAAGTTTACAGACTGCACAGGTATGCGATCCGTCCTGTCCAGATACTGATACAAGATGCCATTACTGTAAAATACACAGCACGAAAAGTCAAATAAATAAAAATAAATAAGACACAGCAGCAACAAATTGACTGAGTCTCTTACCTAAGGACCACAAAACAGGTCTTCCATGTTTCCCTGCCTAAATAGGAGGTGCTGGCTTTATAGTACAGGACTCCTTCTTTAGACACTGGCTGATCTCTAAAGTGAGAGTCTCCAGATCCAAGGGAGTCATCAGAAGGGTCTTCCCAGTGCACCAGCCCATAGTACAACATGACCACCTGGGATGCCTGGGACAAGAGCAGTGAGGTTTAGTGACAGTATCTTATACAACAGCGCTAAATACAACTTGTAACATTAAAATAATATAAATTGCAGTGAGCAGTTCCTGAGAGTGCCGAATATCATTATACTCATAAACCTGTGTGCTAGAGATCTGCTAGACCCCATCAACACGTTTCTCCTCTTGTTTTATTAACTTTTCAGGATTATGAATGCCAATTTATTTTCCAAATTACTTTATTCAATTTAGTTGTGTTGCTCTACTTTTTTAAATTAATATAATTACGTGACTGATCTTACAGACCCACAACAGTCAAGACATACCTCTTGCTTTGACTCCTGTGATACAAACTTCGACAAAGCCAATCTCTCCATAGTGGCATCACGTAGTACCTCGGGGTACGGAGGCTCACGGCAACCATTAACCATGGCAGATCCTAACGCACCAATGAATACTCTGAAAAGCATCAAGTTACAGGTTAGGAAAACATCCACTTGGGAGAGGTCACTATGTTATTTTAAACGATTACACTCGATAAAAACGTAAAATTAACATGCCAAAAATCCAAGGGTGCTAGTTTAACAGAAATCATATTTTCTTAAATTGATCTCAAATCATATTTTCTGCATACCCGACAAATACAGATCAGTAGTCTAAAGCTAAAGGTTTAGACAAAAGTGAGGAAACCCTGAAATACACTTTGTAGCAATGGTGAATACATTAATACCCAGCAGGTGTACCTATGACATGTATTACACTCAGTGGTCTAAAAGAATACTGGATATCAGCCTAATATTGTGAGGAGTGTTACTGCTATTTTGACTTACACTACAGGTAGATCTGACAGCTGTGTATTAAGATGCAGGTTTGCGATTTACCTGTGCTTAGAAATTAAACCTCTTGACCATTCACCACTAATAAGTGGAAATTCATCCCTAGTAAGCTGGCCCTGCAAGGTTACTGGACTGCATTAAGTGGCTAACATGGCTGGTGGAAGATTATAGGACTACAGGACTTTAAGCCATCATTGGTTTTCCAAATGTCTTTATATCTATAATCTAACAGTAAACTCACTCTGTTAGATTTGTATCAGCGGTGTCCACCATGAACTGACGACGCCTGTTAGTGCACACGAAGGTTACCGTCTGATGATCCAAACCGACCTATGATCAAGAAAACAAACACTTAGTAGAGAATAGAAAAAAAAGCAAGAAAATGCTCACATGGATATAAGAAGAGGCTCCACTCACAGAGATGTAGTCAAGCTCATAGTACGATATGGCATCTTCCACCATGTATGGCTTATCTGCAGCGCCTGTCAGGCAAGGGAATATGTTAAACACATGAGAACAAGAACAGCAATAGACACATGAATACTGCCTGGCTGAAGACTGAGAAGGACATAGCCTGACCTTTTCTCAATAAGTAGATGTAACAGTCTGTCAGTAACACATAAACCATCTGCATGTCTCCTTCCATGTGGCCCGTACTCATCCGAAACATCTGCCAGACAGGAGAAAGGGGCAATATACAAATAATGCAACAAACTGCAAAAGGAAACGACAAGGAAACCCCATACTGTAAAATGCATGATTCTCACCTTGAAGAGCTGCTCTTCATTTTCACGGAAGACATGAATCATTAGCAAAAGAAGAAGATTATTATCCACTCTGTAAGGATATCAAACAGATATTTTCATTATAGAAAATGTTCCAGAGAATTGTATGGAAATCTTATAACTAGTAAAAGTCACAAACATTTTTAGTTCCAAATGACATCAGCTATGTGAATGCATGCATTGCCTGATGATAAATATATAGCCGATCATTAAAGATCTTCTTTTGAAAGGGGTACCCAAACTATAGGGCTCTGCATAGCAGAACTCAGGAGATAGGATATGACAGATTTTTTTTCTGAATGATGTATCATTCCACAATAAATTAAAATAAATCAAATCAATAAATGAGAAACATTTATCCTGTGGGTGATGATGGAGTCTGCCTTGCTCTCTGTATAATAAAGTGGGACTTTGCTGACATTAAAGGGACACTATAGTCACCAGAACAACTACAGCTTATTGCATTTGTTCTGGTAAGTAGAATCATTACCTTCAGGCTTTTTGCTGTAAACACTGTCTTTTCAGAGAAAATGCAGTGTTTACATTACAGCCTAGTGATAACTTCACTGGCCACTGCTCAGATGTCTGTTAGAGATCCTTCCTGCGTCATGGCTGCCTAAAATGCATCCAAACATTCAGTATCTCCTCCCTCTGCATGCAGACACTGAACTTTCCTCATAGAGATTCATTTCATCTCTATGAGGAGATGCTGATTGGCCAGGGCTGTGTTTGAATCATGATTGCTCTGCCCCTGATCTGCCTCTTTGTCAGTCTCAGCCAATCCTATGGGGAAGCACTGTGATTGGATCAGGCTACCACTTCTGATGATGTCAGCAGACAGCTTGTTTTTCTGAGACAAACAACATGCAGGTCTAGAGCTTCAGGCTTGAATACATTAAGATTTTGCTATATTTATGGAGGCATGAGGGGCCCAGGGGGCTATATGGTGGTTTTAACCCTATAGGGTCAAGAATACATTTTTGTGTAATTGATTAGTGACAACAGAAACAGCGAATTTACATTTTTTTTTTTTTATTATTCACAATATTAAAATATATATTTTGTAGGTGAGTGGAGTGTCCATTGAATAAAGCACCAAGAGAAATCAGCTGGAACATACAATTCAGTTCAAATGTTTTAAAAAAAAATATTGTGGATTTGGTCACACTATGCAGCTATATGTAGTATGATCACTACGTGGAATAATTAGAGGATTTTAATAGATGTCCAAAAATAAAATAGTATGTGTTGTCCTGGCAGATGGAAAATCATTTAACTGCTAACATACAACGTACTTTGATTAAAAATTTTCAGGGATTAGAGTTGATTAAAAACAAATAATCCATATGGGGTTAGTATTAAATGTACCTGAACTCGCAGGGGTGTGGAGAATCAGAAGGGCTCCCCTGGCCCTCTTCAACTCCAGAGTCTTCTGCGATACTAAGTTCTGGACTGCTCTTCCCTACAGAGTTTTCCAGGAGTGGCTCTTCTGGTAAGTTCTCTATGGATCCTTCAACCTCTGCCTGCCCCTTTCTTCCTTCTTCCCCTTGTCCAGCATCCTCAGAGCCACTAAAAACATGTGTTGGTTGGCCCTGGCTTGAAGAGTCATTGTAGCCACCACCTGTTGTAGCAGTGTCTGGACTCTCTGGGGTAAAGTAGTAGAAGTCCATGGGGTCTTGCATACCCTGGCTAATGTCTTGGCTTTGGAGGCCACCGGGTGTCTGCCCCGGAGAGCAGGTCCGAAAGGACTGATCTGGTGTTTCAGGATGGGTGTTCCAGCTCTGAGGGTCCAACTGACCATTCAGTTTGTCTATAACCTCACTGAGAGGTTGTCCAACACGTTCCATGGAGGTGTCCTGCATTTTGGCCAGCCTAAGTGCGGGCTCTGAAAGGTCACTTGGCTTCTCCTCAGCATCCCCATTGCAAGCAATTGGTGATTTGTCCTGTTCTGCATCGGGATCCTCAGGCTCAGAGGTACTAAGCAGGGGACGCTGGCTTCCTTCTTCCGAACGACCCCTTCTACGCTTACCACCTCGCTTCTTCTTTACCAGCCTAGAAGGCACACAAGAAACTGATCACATTACCAAATTTCTACAAACCAAACCATGCCAGTCTGTTAATCCGCTAGGTCAAAGAGATCAAAGCTGTTGCTAGATATACAAAGGCCATCACAATCTAATGCATCCATTGGCTCAGTCAATTTCACTTTCATTAATGCCTTATGTGATCACAGTTCACCAGTATTGTATCTCCTTCAGATTGCAAGTTCTTTGACAATTTTGACAAGCATGTTGTATGAATGTGTTGCCTATTCTATATTATAAGCTCATATGAAGATTTCCTTTCTCTTGTGTCTAGCTTGTACATCTGTTTTGTGCAGTAAGTGATCGCCTATCAGTAATCATTGATGTTGGGCATATGAATATTTACTAAATTAATAGAACTATTACCAGACCAATATATGGGATTAGAGATTAAACAGATATAATTACAAAATACACAACAGAATGATTAAATCAGGAGCCCAACAAAGCTGGACAATGTTATATTTCCCTTTAGAATTAGACACAGGATATTGAAGAAGTTTCGTCAAGGGACTGAATGTTCCAAAATCCACTGCTAACTGCCTCTCAACATGTCAAATTATACTATAAATGGTAATCAGGAATACAGGTTTTGGATTTATGTACTGATATATACCTATACTAATCATAGGACAGACACTGCCTCCTCCTGTCGATATTTTTTGTTTGTTTTATAGCATTGCACCCCAGTTTTAGTTGTTTAACCAACTCCTGCCTGAATTTTCCAAGCTGGCTTTTACTTCATTACAATTCAGGGTTTAGTGAATACACCTTAAAGTGATATATTTTTGAATAAAGCATAGCATCCAGGAACCACATCTTCAGTATTCATAATATTCCCTGCAGGTTATGCCCAATCCCCATTTTCCCAGGGATTTCTTTTACCCACGTAATAAGTGCCTGCCATCATGTGTTAGTGACTGCGCAGGGATCTTCTTGTCAAGCAGGCTGTATTTGGAGGACTGACCACATCCATAATGGATTCTGTAAGGTAAACATGTCCTGTATGTGTAAGCTAGCCACTACAATACTTAATGTGTGTGGAAGCACTGAATTTAGGAAAATGAAGAGAGTTGTTGGCAGGAATAATACAATAAGAATCCTTTCCTAGATGTGCCTGGCAACTGAATATTAAGCTGAATAGCTCTGCCCCTCTTTTTACTGACCTGATCACCTCCAGATCTGAGCTGTTGTCTGTGTACATGGTGTAAGTCAAAGAGACCTCTTTCCTCCCATCAGCGCCATGTACCGGTGTCGACTCTGAAGTAGACTGTCCATCTCCCCCTTCCTGCATGCTGAGATCGGTGCTGTCTGATGTAGGCTCTGCAGTCCTCAGTGGCTGGCTGTAGGATAATGTTGTTTCAATCTCAGAACCCTGTGTAATGGGCTCACTGGTATCCGGCGTGTCTTCTGTAGTTCCAGGCCCTGGGATGACATCAGAAGATGATAGATCTTGTGTAAACGGATTGTACCGATGTTTTAACCGCTTTCCATGTGCTCTCAGATCATTGTGCACACCAACTTCTCGACAGGAGAAGCTGACCCCATCGTGAAGGTCCCCGTCTGTCACAGGAGAGCACAGAAAGGGAGAGAAGTCAGGCAAGAGTCTACTGAGGGCAGAGGGAAGCATACAAGCAGTGGGCAAAGCCAGTAATTAGCCTGCAACTACTGGTATGTGTGATCTGTCCAGGGAATCAGTGTGCTATGCAAGCTAAAGCTCACGTGAGCCAGCATGCAAATGTTCCCAACAACAGGTCTAAAGCAGGAATCTACCGACAGGATGTGATCTGCAGAACACATCATCCCTGAGGCAGCAGTTGGGTGCTAGATGCATGATGCAGCAAATGTAAATACCAAAGTGGCACAATAAATTACAATATTTAATACATTTAGTGGCAATGTCTAAAGCCCTAATCCAGTCCCACCACAAGTACCAATCACCCTGAGTTAATGCCACAGGCACCCATGCTACCAGATGAGTTTTGTTAGTACGAACACCACTCAAAGAGTCCCTGACTGGTGAAAGGAAGCCAGTTATAGGATAAGAAAGTTAATTTAGTTAATGTGCATGCTTTACAGATCAATATTTGCACTACGGACAACCGTATCAATACACATATGAAACTAGGTGCACAAAGAGAATTAAGAACAGAAACCAAACTGTGGCAAAGTGTTAGCCAAGAAGGTAATTCTATCCTGCAGAGAATGTGGATTTTGAACTAGATTGCGGATAGAGTATTACAGTTACATGTTCTGCTTTGTACAGACTCCAGATTTCTTTCACAACTGTATGTCTGAGATGCAGACATTCCTTCCCCAATGGACCTCCTGCTAGTTTTACTATCCGGAGCAGCTGGCTGTGATAATGAAGGTTAGCCTGATAATGTTGAGAATGTCTACAAGTTTTGTAGGTTTATAAAAACGACTTTTGGATTCAACTGAAAAAATATAACACCAAACAGTATGAAAGTGAGGAGCGAATTTATATTAAATAATGAATTTCCATCACAATTATTTACATAAAATAAACCGAGAACTCAAACAACCTATAAAAACATGATAATGATAAATCTATATTTAAATGTTTGGTTTGTATGTGGACATTCTCTGTTCAGACTCAAGCAATTGTTAACAGCAGAATGTGTAATGCCCTTTATCATTCTAAAAACAGAAAACTTCTGTGATTCCACATAATCGAATCATGCAACATGAGGCAAATAAGCAAGGAGTGCAGAAAGAGAGAGAGCAGAAAGAGTGCAGGAAGTGGTCAGAGGAGAATGGTTGTCTTGTCCCCACCTTCCCAATCTGTGATGGGTATGGACGGCACTGCAGAATAAGCATCTCCAAAATCATAATCTATAGAGACCAGGGACAAAACAGCTCGTTAGAATGAAGCTAGGGGTGGCTGAGCACCCGTCTAGGGGACCTAATACATCACGCCACTGGGTGGCTGCAACTTCTAGGCCAAAGCAATGTCACAGGAGAAACATAAAAAAAAATTGGTTCAGAAACAAAATTAAGGACGAAGGGAGAATGACAGCAAGTTACCAGATACATTACATATCTCTAAAAATGTCTGTACCAGGATATATGACGATGGCAGATCAGATATTTCACAGACCCCCCTTACCCACATCGATCCAGTTTATTGTTAGGAATCGCTTCCCAGTCAATACTGGCAGAGGAGCATGGGGTACAATATCAGTATTTAATGCTTGCTTGTGACCCTAGTACAATTACCAAAAAGGAAATACAGGTACATACAGCGTTCTTCCATACCCTCACTGGACGGAGCAATGGCGCTGTCATCCCACTCCAAGTTGGCAGAATTAATAGAGTTGAATGAGTTGAGTGACAGGCTGTCTGAACCAAGCATGGAGCTGGGCAGCCGATCCTCAAAATCCAGGAGATAATGCGGTTTGTAGTAATCGGGCATGTAAGGGGCGAGATCCAGGTATGGCACGTCCTGAAAAAAAGATTCAAAGGGCAAGACGTCTAAATGTGCTGCTTGAATCGCCCCATATACGCCATCAGACATCAGACATCTGCACTGTACCCCACACCCCATGTACATTATCCCAATATGGATGGGGTTAAAATTCTACATGTTAGCAATAGTTAACCCTTCCCAATCCTATTCAGCAAACGCACCAGCTCCAGGTCAAATCTTATAAATTCCAGTCCTGAGACCAGTGTGAGGAAGAGGGTGAGATGGTCATGGCTGCAGACCAGGGCATTCCTGGGAGAAAGAGAGAATGTTCTATCAAAGCAGGAAGAGAATGATCAGGTTCAGGACAGAAATATCACTTCATCACAACTTACTTGTAGTAATATTTCTCCAGGAGACTTTGATTCTCATGGAATAACCGCAGGTAACTCTCTAAAGAATTCTCGTTCAACGCCAAGTATAACCAGGCCCGGCCTGTCCAGTACAGAGACAGAGGAGAATGGAAAGGAATACATAAGATGGGGAAAGAGTTATCCATAGAGAAGCAATACAGCTTTCTAGTGTTACATTCATACTTGTTACACAGGCAGTCAGCACTCACTGACACAGTACTCGTTACACAGGCAGTCAGCACTCACTGACACAGTACTCGTTACACAGGCAGTCAGCACTCACTGACACAGTACTCGTTACACAGGCAGTCAGCACTCACTGACACAGTACTCGTTACACAGGCAGTCAGCACTCACTGACACAGTACTCGTTAAATACTTCTGAAGAAGCCCAAACCCGGGCGAAATGCATTAAGTTGATGAGAGAGGCTGGAAGCTGACTTTTATACATAGATTTTATTCTATTTTTTTTTTTTTTATTAAAGGACCACTCTAGGCACACAGACCACTTCAGCTTAATGAAGTGGTCTGGGTGCCAGGTCCAGCTAGGGTTAACCCATTTTTTTTTTAATAAATATAGCAGTTTCAGAGAAACTGCTATGTTTATAAATGGGTTAATCCAGCTCTCAAATCCTCTAGTGGCTGTCTCATTGACAGCTGCTAGAGGCGCTTGCGTGATTCTCACTGTGAAAATCACAGTGAGAACACGCAAGCGTCCATAGGAAAGCATTGTAAATGCTTTCCTATGAGACCGGCTGAATACGCACGCAGCTCTTGCCGCGCGTGCGCATTCAGCCGAAAGGAAGGAGGGGAGGAGGATCGGAGGCGGAGAGCTCCCCGTCCGGCGCTGGAGAAAGGTAAGTTTTAACCCCTTTCCTCTCCCCAGAGCCCGGCGGGAGGGGGTCCCTGAGGGTGGGGGCACCCCCAGGCACTATAGTGCCAGGAAAACGAGTATGTTTTCCTGGCACTATAGTGGTCCTTTAAATAAAGTTAAACTTTTTCCTACTCCCTCTGGTTTCCTACCTGTTCCTGGTGCACTTTGCATCCTGCTATATCCCTTGGTGGGGATCATACATCCACAAGCTATCAACACCAGAGCAAGTCATTGCTCTGGAATCTGTAAGTACGATACTTACCTTTCTTTTATTACAAGCATTTAGTACATACTGTACCATTGGATTTTATTTGTGTTTTTGTTTTTATACATATACACAGCTGTGGCGAATTGGATATTACATCCTACTATTATCCTTATACAGGGATTGTACCATCCAGGCGCTATACGGCAAAGCTCTTAGCAGCTCTACAAAGTGTGAGTTAGTCTTTTCAATAGTTCTCCTTTTATTGATTATATATTCCATTTACCTGATATATTGCACTATTGGGCAATCAGCACTCACTGACAGTACTCGTTATATAGGCAGTCCGCACTCACTCACTGACACAGTACTCGTTACACAGGCAGTCAGCACTCGCTTACACAGGCAATCAGCACTCACTGACACGGTACTCGTCATATAGGCAATCTGCACTCACTGACACGGTACTCGTCATATAGGCAATCTGCACTCACTGACACGGTACTCGTCATATAGGCAATCTGCACTCACTGACACGGTACTCGTCATATAGGCAATCTGCACTAACTGACACGGTACTCGTCATATAGGCAATCTGCACTAACTGACACGGTACTCGTCATATAGGCAATCTGCACTCACTGACACGGTACTCGTCATATAGGCAATCTGCACTCACTGACACGGTACTCGTCATATAGGCAATCAGCACTCACTGACACGGTACTCGTCATATAGGCAATCAGCACTCACTGACACGGTACTCGTCATATAGGCAATCTGCACTCACTGACACGGTACTCGTCATATAGGCAATCTGCACTCACTGACACGGTACTCGTCATATAGGCAGTCCGCACTCACTGACACGGTACTCGTCATATAGGCAGTCCGCACTCACTGACACGGTACTCGTCATATAGGCAGTCCGCACTCACTGACAGTACTGAATACACAGGCAGTTGACACTCACTCACTGACATGGTACTCACTGCGGCCAAGGTGAGTAGCTACATGTTGCTGTTGCTCGATTTGTTTGACAGCTTCCCTACGAGTGAAATGAACGACGAGTACCCAGTACCCGGAGGAGATGTCCTGCAATCTGTAATTAGGATATGGTCAGATAGAATTATAATTCAAACCAAGGATGGTGACCACGTCAGTGCAGGCACAGACAAAAAAAAAACTACGTATCCTACACAAATAAAAACCAGTGTCAGTACAGACACAAAAACTCTCAAATCAATACAAGAAGGAAAAACTGTGAGCACAGGGACAATAACTGCAAATCCCGTGCAAGTAGTAAGCACTACTACAGGCAGCGACAGAGGTCTGAACAAAGAAAGTAAAATCCTAATACGAGACACTGTTTGCTCAGTGTACAGACATACTGCAAAATGCACAGAACTAATGGGATAATATCGGTTTTAGCTTTCTGTACATCCACCAACACACAGCAGGGGATGTGAACCTAATAATCACTGCTACAGACTAAACAAGGGAGGGGTTATAAGATTGGGAAAGGGCTGTTTATATCACATGATCTTATTTGGATCAATCAATACACAGACCATATTGCAGCCCCGGTGTCGAAATATTACAAAATCCCCCACACTAGATGTAATTGCAGAGCCATGAGATCAACAGTAAGCTGTAACAGTCTATGCGCAGGTCTCTAGCATCTAACGCCATTTACAAATGTCTCCCACATACAAGGACACTGCTTAACTCACCCGTACAACAATGCATGGTCGAGATGCTCGCACAGTCTCTGCAGCACCCTGTCATGGTTTCGGATTGCTGGGGTCTCATCTTCACAGGCAGCAAAGTAACTCTGTAGCTATAGAGAATGCGTAGATTAGATAAGTCACAGCATGGAATCATCTGGACAGTTACACACAAAGACATCCAACCCGGATGGCAGTTTTATAGTCATATCATTAGCAAAACAGTTTGACTGCTAACACTGGGGTGTGCCAGGGCTCTACTGGTACCATAACCACTACAGCACGCTGTAGTGGTTAAGGTGGTTAAAGTGTTCCTTTAATGCACAGTCATCCAGCCCAGGTAGCAGCAGCCATCATTTCCCTCTACCTTTAGTCACATGTAGGAAAAGAGAATCACAGCTCTTAGAAAAAGAATGAAGCATAATGTTCATGAGAGCACCTGATGTGGCTTTAATGACAAAACATAATCACCCATTGCATAAGCCTGCCACAGCGCCAATGTACCCTTTATATAAGTTTTCAAAACCACTCTATAAAAAATGAAAGTACGTCTGAGCTCAAACACTTCCCAAAAAGGAGCCTCTGCTCAATAAGGAGCGGATAGCAGCTGAGCAGTCACATGAGAGTACGACACAGTGAGTTGAGAGACAGTATGATAACACCAAGGCCTCCACTCCATTAGCAGACAGAAATCAGCCATTAAGTACACCCTGCCCTGGGCATGGTTTCAACAATTCTTTATGTGTTACATGTATAATAAATGGAGTTACTTTTCAATGTCTCTCATTTTCAGAATTTCCCAGGGATTTGAGACTGTCTCGGATCCTCACATAATCCAGGGCTGGCTGTGATCTCATAGCTTTCTATCGCAGAATTAACGAGCATGCGTTCATGTACAGCTCAATACGCATATTAACTTTAGATTTCATTGGGTGTACTACTATAAAATGTTTACGTATAGGCCCTATTCATGCAGTAGCAGGAGGAATGTCACAAAGGATCAGCCGTTAACTGCTAGTTTAAAAAGAATGGCTAGTTATCTGTGTCGGCAGAGCACTGTAACGACTCCAAAAATATTAGCAGTTTATTGAGCAGGTGCACACATTCTATGGAACGTGTTATTGTGGCTAAACTACGTTTGCCGTAAGCCATTGATAGATTGGGGTTAAAACCAAAAAACATTATAAAAATTAGATCACTATTAGCATAATGTGTCGATTTATTAACATTTACATTTTTCTCGTACCCATTCTGTACAGATGCACACACCCTATTTTTTAAAACAGATATCTGACAGACTACCACTTATTTGACTTTCTTTTGGATACAATAATTCACAGAAGAATATTCAACGGCAGAAAGCACATTTGTGCAGGAGCCATAGTAGATGGAATTCAGCTTGGGCAAGTGAACAGATGTTGGCAGCTTACTTATTGTACAATATATCTATGCCATTCTGTGCCATTAATTGGGACATTAACAGGCTAAATAAAGAGTGTCACAGCTTACTCACTGCAGACAGATTTTAACTCAAATCAAAAACAAGGAAGTGCGTTCCCAGCAAGGCTTTATGTGTGTTTATCAAATCCTTCTTTAGGCCAAAATATTACTAGTAAATTTATAGCAGGCATCTTCAACCCCTCCCTGCTAGTTAGATTGCAAGCTTCCCTGAAGCAGAGTCAGTCTGAGCTGCAGACACACCAAAAATATAAAACAGGCTCTGCTGGTAACAGTCACAGCTGGAAGTAAAATAACAAGACTTGTTCTGATGTTGTCAAGATATTTATGCAGATAAACACATTACAGGATATACAACTAATTACATAGTTACATAGCTGAAAAGTGACACGAGTCCATCAAGTTCAGCCTTCCTCACAAATGTTTTTAATATGCTATAAAATAACCAATACAGGTTCTTTTGTAATGGTGTCAGGAGGAATCAGGCCACCTCTTACCTGAAGGGGTTTAATCTTCTGCTCAATACCCTAGAATTTAAACTGGAAGCTTCTGACCGGGAGCTGCTAGGCTTAGAGTAAAATATAGAGATAGTAGCCCACCCTTGAGAAGAGAGTGAAAAAATATTTACCCTTTTCACTCACTTTACCCAATGAGGTAAGTCTTCAAGTTACATAGTTACAAAGTTACATAGCTGAAAAGAGACTTGTGTCCATCAAGTTCAGCCTTCTTCACATATGTTTTTGCAGTTGATCCAAAAGAAGGCAAAATACCTAGTATGAAGCATTTCCAATTTTGAAACAAACTAGGAAAAAATTCCTTCTTGACCCCAAATAGCAGTCAGATATCTCCTTGGACCAAGCAGCTATTACCCAACTAATTAGAAATTATATCCCTGTGTGTTATGTTTTTGCAAGTATTTATCCAATTGCAGTTTAAACATCTGTATGGACTCTGACAAAACCACCTCTTCAGGCAGAGAATTCCATATCCTTATTGCTCTTACTGTAAAAAAACCTTTTCTTTGCCTTAGATGAAATCTCCTTTCTTCCAGCCTAAATGTGTGACCTTGTGTCCTATGTATAGCCCTGTTTATGAATAGATTTCCAGACAATGGTTTGTACTGGCCCCGAATATATTTGTATAAAGTTATCATATCCCCTCTCAGGCGCCGTTTTTCCAAACTAAAGAGATTTACATGTTTTAACCTTTCTTCGTAACTAAAATGCTCCATTCCTTTAATCAATTTTGTAGCTCGTCTCTGCACTTTTTCTAGTGCCATGATATCTTTCTTTAGAATAGGTGCCCAAAATTGCACAGCATATTCAAGGTGTGGTCTTACCAGCGATTTATAAAGAGGCAAAATTATATTTTCATCTCGAGAATTTATGCCCCTATTTATACATGACAAAACCTTACTGGCCTTAGCAACGGCAGATTGACATTGCATATTGCTGCCTAATTTGTTTAGGAGTAAAAAAATGTCATGACCTCCTTGCACCATAACAACTTTGTTGTGATGAAGTTATGTGCCAGGAGTGTCCCTTTATCTTCACTTTTATGCTAAACCTTTTAAAAGTGTTCACACATGGAGAGAGGAACTTGTTTGTGATCTCTCCTATTAATCTCTATGCATGTTTAGGAAATATGCGGACTGTTCCAGGAAGGTTTTAAAATTCTCCTTCCTTAGTGCCAGTGGCAAACCTTTAAACTGGCTGTGCCCACTCTATTGTTTAACCCTGTGCGGATTTCCTAGTAGTCACTGTCACAGTGATTGCCTGGTGAGTGGGAGGCAAGTAACAAATAGCTGCCTACTTATTTGGAGTTAACCCCACTCCTTAAAGCTGCAGATAGCGGTCACGATTACAAAATAATGCTGCTTTAAAAAGAGCACCTAGGGTTACTGCCGGTCGGAAATTTTTTGACATTCTTTATTTGTATGTAGTAAGGTTACAAGACAGGTCAAATCATATCAAAAGACACGGTATAACAGGTTTTGTAAGGCCCCTAAACCTTATGGCCAACAATATTTGTAGGGTTTTATTCCTAGGTTTCCCCCTCTCTCCCTCCCCGCCGTATTAGCTCCCTTCCCCCCACCAACCCCCCCCATCCCCACCAGTCTTGATCCGGCCTCATTTCTCCGTTTCTTAGGCCTAGTGATCTTAGTAGACTTATGTTGGACCTGCCTTTTAGAGGGGAACACCATTCCCCGACCAACCCCGAGCCTATTTGCCTTATAGAGTGGGGTCCGCCGGGACCGCTGTGGTTTGCCTTTCGTCCGGCGTTTAGCAAGTGTTCCACCATGTGCGTGGGCATACATTGTAGTTGGCGAGGTGCAGGACCTTGTTTGGCTTGGTGGGAGTAAAGCTCCTCTGGCTCGCGCAGGGGGTGGTGGTCCCCTTGGGTCCAGATGCGGTCCCCGCGAGCCCCCCCTCGGTGGAATTCTGTGTCGTTCGGGTGTAATGCCCGAGGTCCGGCACCCCCCCCTTCCGATGAGTTGTTAATTTAACCGTGGCCGGGCTGTCTCCGGCCTGCCTGCTATCTGTGGCTGTCATGTGTTAACTCCAGTCAAGGTCCCCTTTCCTCCCCTGTCGGTCACCTTTGCTTCGTCATTGAGGCATGTGGAGAAAGAGAGAGAAAGAGTTAGAGAGAGTGAGAGAAAAAGAGGAAGAAGAGAGGAGGGAGAAAAAAAAAAAAAGGAAGAAGGAGGGGGGGGAAGGGAGGGGGTCCCGCGCGGCCGCAATCCAGCCTCCTCCCACGCTACTCCGCCTCCTCATCTGGCCTCAGACGGTCCGCCCTCGGCCGCCCCCACCTCCGGTCCGAGCTGTAGGAGATCCACGGTGTCCACAGGCGAGTGCAGCGGTCTTGCGTGCCCCTGAGTTCTGCCGTAAGAATTTCCATGTTATAAAGTTCATCGACTTTTTCTATCCACTGAGTAATGTTTGGGACAACTGGCGATTTCCATCTGGCGGGGATGAGGCTTTTGGCTGCGTTGAGAAAGTGTCTGATAAGGGTTTTCTTGTAACGCCCCAGAGGTATCTGAGTGTGGTTTAAAAGCATAGGGAGGGGCTCCATGGGGATGTCCTCCCCCAGGATGTCCACCACTTTGTCATGGATCTGTTGCCAGAAGGGGGCTATCCGAGGGCAAGACCACCACAGGTGTAATGCCGTCCCTTCGGCGATGTCACATCTCCAACACTTGTTGTCGGGGGTGACCCCCATGGCATGGAGTCGTGCGGGGGTCCGGTACCAGTGCGTCAATAGTTTATAATTAAGTTCCTGCATTTTAGAACTAAGTATCCCCTGGTGGGACAGGACGTGTATTTGCTCCCATTGTGGTTCCGTTAAGGTGACACCTGTGGCTTGTTCCCACTTTGAGTGGAAGTGTGCCGGGGGACCCGCATCGGCACCCAGGAGCATGGCATATAGGGTCGATATCCCGCGTGTCGGGTGCGATCCCCCTTCACATAGCGTTTCAAAGTGTGTGAGGTCTCGGTGGATCAGGTGTTTCCCCTGAAGTGTGGCATAGTACCGGCGTATCTGGTGGTACCTAAATCGTAAGATCCCTGTCTCCCTACTCTGGCCCAGCATGTCTTCCAGCGGCCTTAGGGCTTTATTAGCACACCATGCCCGAAGGTATTGTTTCGTCCCCTCCCCCAGTCCCTCCATATCCCCCTGTGTCAGGCCTCCCGCCAGGTCTGGGTTGTGTATCACAGGTGTCAGGGGGGCCGGGTTCGTGGTGAGCTGCAGCTTGAATCGGATGGTTGTCCATGTTCTCAGTGTCGCGCCTATGAATGGGTGGTTCCGCAGGTCGGGTTTTGTATCCATACCATCGATGGAATACGCCCCCTGGCCTGAAGCCGCTCCATATGGACCCATTGTTTGTCCGAGTCCAGGACATGCCATTCTATAATTCGTAAGAGGTGTGTCGCCTGGTAGTAACCGAGTAGGGACGGTAGGGCTGTTCCACCCCGATGTCTCGGGAGTATCAGTTGTGTCTTTCTTACCCTCGGCGGTCCCTTCGCCCAGACGAATCGCAGTATAGCCGAGCCCAAGGTGTTGAAGTATGTTCGCGGGATCGTGATCGGAATGGCCTGGAAAAGATACAGCAAGCGTGGCAACAGATTCATCTTTATTGTGTTGATCCTCCCAAACCACGACACGCATAGGCGTCCCCATCTGAGCAAGTCCGCACGGAGCGTTTGGAGAATAGGGAGAAAGTTTTCTTGATAGAGTTTCGTCAGGTCTCTAGTTAACCAGATCCCGAGATATTTTATGCGCTGGTGGCACCATTTAAAGGGGAACTCTCCTGTCAGCCGTTCGACCAACTCGGGGGGTATAGAGATGGGGAGGGCCTCTGACTTGTCCGCGTTCAATTTGAAGTTAGAGATCCGTCCGAACCGCTCAAAGGCCGCCAACAGGTTGGGCAAGGTGATCAAGGGGTTGCTCACGAAGAAAAGGAGGTCGTCCGCGTAGGCCGCCACCTTGTGCGTGCCGTCCCCCAGGGTGACCCCCGCAATGCCCCCGTCCCGTCTGACCGCCTCAAGAAATGGCTCCAGAGAGAGGGCAAACAGGAGGGGGGAAAGCGGACATCCCTGGCGCGTCCCGTTACGTATCCGAATCGGTGTGGACAGGACCCCATTAATGCGTAGTTGAGCAGTCGGTTCCGCATATAGCGCGGAGATCCACTGCAGTATATTCGGTCCGAACCCCATTGCCTTGAGCGTTTCAAGGAGGTATCGCCAGTCCACCCGGTCGAAGGCCTTCTCCGCGTCAGTGGAGAGGAGCAGGCCCCCGACCGGCGAGCTCCGTTGCATGTGCATGATGTTTAGCGCTCTGATTGTATTATCTTTGGCTTCTCGACCGGGTATGAATCCGGTCTGGTCCGGGTGGATCAAGGATGGGACTATGCGGCCCACGCGCGCCGCCAGGACCTTCGTAAACAGCTTGAGGTCTGCGTTTAGTAGAGAAATGGGTCTGTAGCTCGCACAGGCCGCTGGGTCTCTACCCTCTTTCGGGATAACCGCGATCGTTGCCAGTAGGGTGTCCCCCGGTAGGCGTGCCCCCTCAAGGAGAGAGTTCATGCCCGCCAGCAATTCTGGTAGGAGGACATCCCTGAAGGCCTTGAGGTATCTGGCGGGGAGGCCGTCCGGTCCCGGGGCTTTGTTAAGTTGTGTGTTCTTCAGGGCTGCCGTCAGTTCCTCGATCGTAATGGGGGCATCAAGGTCTTCCCTTTGTTCTTGCGTGAGAGTCCGGTGTACGTGGTTTTCCAGGTACTCCCTCGTCAGTCTCGCCGTCCATTCCCGGCCCGCGCTTGTCTCATCTTTCTGGATATCGTATAGGCCGGTGTAGAAGTTCCGGAATTCCTCGACTATTTTGTCCGGTACCTGCGTGAGGGCGCCGCTCTTTGTCCGCAGCTTAGTGATCTGGTTCACGCGGCGTTGTTGTCTCAGCATTCTGGCTACGACCGCATTTGTTGGAGTGTTCATAGTAATAGCGATGGGCTTTTTTCATCGTATAGGCGAGGTTTTTCGTGAGCAGATGTTGTAGGTCTCGGCGGGCCTCTCGGAGCGCATGGTACGCCTCTTCTGTCGGTGCGGCTTTGTGGTCTTGTTCTAAGCTGGCGACTTTCGTATATAGCTCTTGTAGCTGCCTACTGTGTTCTTTCTTCCGCGTTGTACATACCTTGATGAAATGTCCCCGAATGACGCACTTATGGGCCTCCCACCGAATCATTGGGGAGGTGTCAGACGGATCATTCTCATTGAAGTAATGACGGAGCGCTGTCGTAGCGTCCGCTATGGTGACCGGGTCGCTAAGTAGTTGTTCATTCAGTTTCCATTGGCGTCTTGTGGGTTTATGCAGTGGCGAGGTCAGCTGGGCCAGTACCGGTGAGTGGTCCGACCATGCGTCCAGTAGGATTTCACATTTTTGTAATAGATTCAGGTATTCTTGTGCAATAAAGACATAGTCTAAGCGGCTGTAGCCGCGGTGCACCGGGGAGAAGTATGTGAAATCCTTGGCCTCTGGGTGCATGACTCTCCAGCAATCCGCAAGGCCCGCCGTTCTGAGTGCCAATTGTGCCGCTTCGATGCTTGCGTCCGGCAGCGAGCAGCGTCCCCGGGAGGTGTCCGTCCGCGGATCCAATGGTATGTTGAGGTCCCCGGTTAGAATTAGGAGCCCCTCCCTGAAGTGTTCCAGCGATTTTAGGGTTCTGGTGAGAAAACTGTGTTGTCGGGTGTTGGGCGCATATATGGAGGCAAAGGTGTAGCGCCTGTCTGCAATGGAGCCCTTGAGGAAGATGTAGCGTCCCAGTGGGTCGGCCTTGACCTCCGCACACACAAAGGGGACATGCGCGGCGAAGAGAATGGCCACTCCTGCCTTCTTGGCTTCCCTATGGTTAGCAAAATATCCAGTGGGGAACCGTCGGTCTCGGAGGGCCGGTCCCGTCTGTCCGCGGAAGTGTGTCTCCTGGATGAAGGCCACAGAGATTCTATTGGACCAAAGTGCCCGTAGTAAATGTGATCTCCGTTCTGGCAGGTTCAGGCCCCGGACGTTGTTGGACCAGATGCGCAGAGGCGCCGGGGCGAACCCCTCTCGGCCCCGGGAGGTCATGAGAGCTGGTGCCGCCGCGCAGGGGCGGGCGGCGAGGTGTCAGGGGCAGGAGAAAAGAGAAAAAGAAGGAGGGAGAGAGAGAAAAAAAAAAAAAAAAAAAGAAGTGGTCGTAGATAGAGGGTCGTCAGTAGACCTGTTATAGAATAACAGAGTTAAACAAGGTGAGAACTATGTACAGTGTCAGACTCAGCTGTCTAGGTCGGTGAGTCAGTAAGGGGTGGACTGTCCCACGTAAATATGTCCCCCCTTGTCGCTCCCCCCTAGTGTGTTATACAGTGTGTCTGTGGGTACGTGAGCGTCCGCAGGCGCAGGACTGTGAAGGTGGGTCTAAGAGTCGTCACTGTCAGCTCCCCCTTAGCCCGTGCTGTCCCGCAGTAGTCCTCCTCTTTCCGGAGGCTATACCTCGGTGCCTGGTCATGCCCCTGTCCCATCCCCCAGGTGGACCCCCCCCCCCAGGGTGGCAGTGCAAGTGATCTCCGCGTATCGCGGCTGCCGTTTCCAGCGTACCCTGGCCGCCCAGCTACTCAAGCAGACCCTATGCCCCTCTCGCCTCTGGCAGGTTTTACTCGTTGGGCATCCCGCCCACCCCCCCCCCATCCCTGTGACCCCAGGCCACCGCTCCGGTGCGGGCTAAAGGCCCTTCTCCCCCTGTCTCTTTGCTTTCCTTCCCCGTCTCGCCCCTGGCTCGGGGTGTGTGCTCTATGGGCCGGTGTTGAGTGGGCTCGGTAGTGCAGGGGCCATTCCTCCTCTCCTCCCCGTGGAGGACATTTACTCGTCTCCCTCACGTCTCGCATGGGTGCAGTGGGGAGCTGCGGGGCTTCCCGCCTCCCCTCCAACCCAGCATGGGGGGGCAGGTTGCTAAGTGTCCCGAGAGAAATGCAGGTCCGCTCCGTGCTCTCCCCTCCCCCCACCTCGTAGCCATCAGTCCCCCAGGACCTTGCCCATGTCCTCCCCCACTTCCAGGGTGCAGTCCCCGATTCCCTCCCCCAATGCCCTCCCAAAGCCCAGTGAGCCCCCTACGACTCCTTGAGCCTAAACTTTACCAGTGTAGCAAGTCCAGGGGCAATATGGCGGGCCAGTCCCAACTCCAGAAGCGGCATTCCGGGCCCCGGCAGGGGAAGAAGCGACATCCCATGTCCATGAACTCCCTTTCAGGTCGGGGTGAGCCGCGACTTGTGAGGTGCCTACGCCTCCCACCCCACCTGGCTAACCTACTCCCTCTATGGGCAGGCGCAGACCCGTATCCCGGCTCCCCCCCAGTACCTTGCGGCCCGGCTGAAGCCAGGCCGCGAGTGCTCCTCTCCTCACTCCTCCACGCCTCTCGGGCCTCCCAGCATCCTCTGGGCCCGCTCCCTTCTCCTCGGGGGCGACGGTGGGCGCCCGTCCTCCGCCACTTCGTGCAGCTGTGCGAGCGGGGTCTCCAGAAGCCAATTCCTGATGCGGATAGGTGGTAGGCGCAAGGCTCTTAAGGCTCGGGGCACATCTTCTGGCCAGCGCACTTGGATCCAGGCATTCCCCTGCCTAATCTGGAGGCTGAAGGGGAATCCCCACCGGTAGGCTATTCCCTTCTCCCGCAGGGTCGTCGTTAAGGGCCTGAGAGCCCGTCTGGCGTCCAGGGTGAGGCCGGACAGGTCTTGGTATAGGGCCACGCTTGCTCCCCGGAAGGGTATATCCGCCATTCCTCGGGCAGCCGTCATGAGGCGTTCCTTAAGGCTGTAGTCATGGAGGCAGCACAGGACGTCTCGTGGCCTGCCATCAGGCCTCTGCGGCCCCAGGGACCTATGTGCCCGGTCCAGCTTGATCACCGCCGGGCATTCCTCTCCAAGAATCTGCCGGAAAAGGGCCTGCAGCGTGTCTTGTAGTGGCGCTGTGTCCGGTTCGGGTAGCCCCCGAATCCGGATATTTTGGCGTCTGCTGCGGTTCTCTAAATCTTCAACTTGGCGCCGAAGGGAGAGGAGCATGTTCCCCTGGCGCGTGGTAGCGAGTTCAGCCGCTTGGTGCTGCGCGCGGCTCGCTTGGGCCTCCGTTTCCAGTGCCTCCACTCTTACTTCCACTGATGAAAGATCCTTCCTCAGGGCTGCAACTTCCTCTTTGACGGCTGCCCGAAGTTCTCTCAGTAGCCCCCCTGTATCTGCCTTGGTGAGCATCTGTGCGGAGATCATTGCCAGCTCCTGTTTAATCAGAGCGAGTGTGTCATCCTGCGTGCCGTCCAGGGTGGGCTCTCCCGCGCTTTCACTGCCTGGGGAGCCGGGCGCCATGTTGTCAGGCGGTCGGCTGCAGCTTAGTGTGCTTGGAGTGCACACGAACTCATCAAGCGTCCCGGTCGGGCGGTGCGGGGTACCCCCCAGGGTGTGGGGCTTCTTGTTCCGGACCATGTTTGTCGGGGTAAGTGCCGGTTTTCGCGTGTTTTAGGGGCCAGGGGGAGCGGAGCTCAGGAATTAGGCGTCCTGTCGCATGCTCGGCTCGGCCACGCCCCCTAACGATTTCTATAGTAAATTATATAACATTCCTCAAACTACGACAGAGGAAGACATAAAAAAATATTTGGAAAAAATAAACAATTTTAAATTAACAGAATTACAAAGTGAAGCAATAAATAAAGATATAACTATAGATGAAATAATGAAAGCTATAAATAATTTGGAGGAGTATAAAACCCCAGGTCCAGATGGATTTAGTAATTTATTCTATAAAATATTCAAAGAATCAATTTGCCCTTATATGACTAGTGCCTTTAACAGTGCGGCTAAAAGAGGATCTCTTCCAACAGAGATGTTAAAAGCTAACATTCTACCAATTTTAAAACAAAACAAAAACCCTACTGATGTTAAAAATTACCGTCCAATATCTTTGATAGATGTTGACACTAAATTATATGCTTCAGTGTTGGCCGCTAGACTTAAAAAACTTTTACCACTGATCATACATCAAGATCAAGTAGGTTATGTTCCCGGCAGAAACTCTTATACAAGTATTAGGAAAATTGTCAACATCTTAGATGACGCTAATAGAAAAAGAGTTCCAGTTTTGGCTCTGTCGATTGATGCTGAAAAAGCATTCGACAGAGTCAACTGGATTTATTTGGATGCGGTATTGTCACACTATGGGTTTGATGGTTGGATTAAGAAAGCCATCATGGCCCTTTATGCAAATCCATCAGCACGTACTAAAGGACCAAATATCATAGCCCCATGGTTCCAACTGAAAAATGGCACACGACAGGGATGTCCACTCTCACCGTTATTATACTTGCTTTCTATTGAACCATTAGCCGAAAATATTAGAAACAATAAAAAAATCTATGGCTATAAAACATTAGATGTAGAACAGAAATTAAGTCTATATGCTGATGACATCTTAATTACCATAACAAAACCGGAAATTTCATTAGATTTTTTAATGTCAGAAATTGACAACTATAGTAAAATATCTAATTATAAATTAAATATAAATAAATCTATGATTCTGGATATTAATTTGGATGAACAAATGAAAAATAAGATTAAAGATAGATATAATTTTTTATGGGTCGAAAATAATATGGATTATTTGGGAGTTAAACTGACTAGAGATGTAAATAGAATAATGGAAATTAATTTCTTGGATTTATTGCAAAATCTTAACAAATGGTTGAAAAACCGAAGAAATTTAGAAATATATCTTTCTGGGGAAGGATTAATGTAGTGAATTCATACGTCATTCCAAAATGGAACTATTTGTTCCAAATGTTGCCATTAAGTATTTCTGACCAGTGGTTGCAATTAATACAGAAAAGTTTCACTCAGTATATTTGGAAAGGCAAAAAACCTAGACTGAGTCAGTCAACACTAACACAAAAACTGAATAAAGGAGGACTGGCTTATCCTTTAATATCAAATAATTATAGGGCAGCGATAATTTTACATATATACAGGATGCAAGTAGAAGAAAACAAAAACGAAAGTTGGTATAAAACAGAACTTACTGCAGGAGGAACCCCCAGTTTGGATTGTTTAATTTGGAACACTACCAAACTTTTTCAAAAAAAAGATTATCCTAGTTTAACATTAACACATTTAATGAAGAGTTGGCTTAAAATTAAAAAAAACCTAAAAATAGAAAACAAAATTCCAACTTATTTAAGTTTAGATTTTGTAGAACATCAAGTTGCAGATATAAATTTAAAAAACTGGAATCAAGCAGGAATTTTGCGACTGTCTCAACTACTTGTAAAAGAAAAAATTAAAACCTTTGCTCAATTAACACAGGAATATAACTTACCATCAAAAGAGTTGTTTAACTATTTAAGACTTAAAAGCTTTTTGATAACACATCTAATTGTATCAAACACTAATTTGAATAATGGGCTAAATATACTCTTTAATACAGATAAGATAAATAAACCACTCTCAAAAGCTTTGGTATTAAGCAAAATGTGCAATAAAGCAAAAATTCCAACAGCTATAACCGCCTGGAAAGAAGAATTAAATATGGATATAAATATTAGGCATTGGGGTTTCTCATTGACAGAAGCTTCGAAGTATATACACTCGTTAAATCTATTAGAAACTCATTTTAAAGTCCTAAACAGATGGTACTTAGTACCAGACAAATTGAACAAAATGTACTCTTCAGCAAACCATCTATGTTGGAGATGTGGTATAAACACAGGTACTTTTAAGCATATTTGGTGGGAGTGTAGCAAACTGAACAATTTGTGGTTTAATATACAAAAGTTTGTATCCGTAGACTTGAACCTTGAGTTGAGGCTCTCTCCGGAGACTGTTTTGCTTCATCTAAACTGGCCAGTAATGACAAAGGATTTGAAAATTATTCTTATCCATCTTTTTTTAGCAGCAAAAATAGTGATTGCAAGAAGATGGAAAAATGATAGAGAAGTTCCTTGGGATCAAGTCAAAGCCCAGCTTAAGTCTCAAGTAAAAATGGAAGTGTTATTGAGCAAACAAAAATTAAGCAGGAAAACAACAATGTGGTTGAAATGTTGGGAGAAGATTGATAAATAGAGGGGGAAGGTGAATAATGAGGCTGACTGTTAATGCTTTGGACAATATAACATAATATATATTATGAGACAAATATATATTTTTTTCTCGATGAGTTTCTTCCCTTCTCTCTTGCTGCACTGTCTTGTCTTGTTTAGGTAGATGTGTAAGTCTAAAGTATTGTTCGTTTTTAGCTAACCGAAATGTATAAGGAAACATCTTATGGATGAACATTTTAAATAGGAAATTGTTTCTTTATCATTTGTATGTAACTGTAGTATTGTATTGTCTTTGTTTATGGATAAAAAAAGGGGGGAAACCCTTTAAATAAAGATTATAATAATAAAAAAAAAAAAGGCAGAAATTTCCCTGAGCACCTGCCTTGCAAAGATTTCTCAATGAGCTGTATTGGGAAGTCTGTAACTGGAGAGACACAGATTGAAAGGATTATTTACTGTAGAGAAAACTAAAGTATGTGTGTATGACCTGGACAGCCCCACAAATATACGATCAGCATAAATATAAAATAAAATGCAATATTCTTTTGTATCTGACCTTCCTTCTCTTTAAGCACGTGGTGTTTGATTTTTTCAGCTCTCTCCATGTAGTCTGTTACCTTTTGCCTGTAATGTGCTCTTTTTGCATCATCTTTAGTGGCTAAGGGAAAAAAGATCAAAGTGATCAATACATCAGTTAAGAGAATTGTGAAGTGATAAAGTAATATACTACTATTCGGCAATTTAATTAGTCCCTCCAGTCAGTATTACACCATTTTCAAGCAGTTTAAAACTGAACTAGCAACCTTGGCCATCCAAAGCCTAACCAATACAGGAGATATGGTCAATGCAGATATTACACACTTCCTTAGTTGTCTTTGGAACAAAATACATGTTACTGTTTAATGTTACGTACACATGGCTCAGTCCATCTGCAATTTAGAATTTGTGCATTTTTTAATTGATGATTGTTCCACATGTAATAACAATGAGTAGCCTTTACATGCACATTTTTTAAAACTTCAATGCTATATTTTAAAATATTTAAAGAAATAATATAGCCTTAGGAATACAAACATGCATTCCTAGTTTTCTAGGGTCCTAGTAAGTTAAATTAAGGACATGTCCACTCCATGAACTAAAATATGAGATTAACCTACTTTTGTTCTTCCAGCATGCCTGATTTCTTGCCGCCATCCTGTCTGAGACAATTAAGCATTTGAAGGCTAGTGCGCTGCGTGCAAATCACAGCACTGCACCAATCCGCATCTTCGCATAGAGAAGCCCTGACTCAATGCACCTCTATGGAAAGTATTTAGTGTCTATTTGCAGAGCATCCAGAAAGACCTCTAGATGTAGCATTAGGCAGCAGTGTAAACACTGCCTTTTCTTTGCATGAACAGACTGTTTTCCCCAGAGCCACTATATTAAGTTGTAGTTGTTTTGGTGTCTACAGTGTTCCCTTTAAATTATTGATTTTTTTTAAACGGTTAAGGATGTTCCTTCCCGCACCTTGGTAATCCACCTTCTTTCCTCTCCTAAAATTGCGTCATCAAAAAAACTAACCATTCATTGTAAACTATTCTAGTAACCTACTTTTTCCCCATACATGAAATACATCCTAACTCCCTCTAGAATGTAAGCTCGTTTGAGTGTGGCCCCCTGCACCTTCTGTTCTTGGGTGTCCAACTTGTCTTGTAACAAATACTTGACTATTAGTCCAATTATTGTACTCCTAAATTGGCTTCATTAAGATAAAGTTGTTTGGGTGCTTAAATTATCCATCTAAGACCAAAATTAATTTCAATTTAAATGAAAAATGTGTATGTAATTAATTGATAACACACTGTCATTTGTGAAACTATGAATGATGTACTCTGCACTTCCACATGTTTTTGTCCCTTCACTGACCCTTTAAAACCTGTATTAGCAAGTCGATGCCCTCCTGGTAGCACACAAGACTCTCCTGATACCGGCCACTGGTGTCCAATTCTACAGCTCTCCTTAGCACTCCAGATGCAGAGTTCTCAACCCCAAACACAGAAGACATGGCAGATCTCAGGATCCCTCTAGAAGCAGTCCTCAGGCAGCGCTCTCCAATAACACAGCTTTTTGCCTGAAAAATAAACATTTTTGAGAGAGAGAACTGAGGATTAAAATAGATCTTTTAGGTTTTTCCAGGTAACACGCAATGCTTTAAAGACTCAAGAATGCAGTAACAAGACATCAAATAAAAAAAATTATATTTTTTAATATAACATGGATGCAAAAAAAAAACAACCAATTAAATACTATCCATTATCTGTGGCCATTTTATCACAATCATGTACAGTTGATTCTAGTGTTTCAGTTTTTGGAAGTCTAAATTATGAAAATGTTCATACTGGAAACTGTATTTACAGAATGTCTGTCAGCATAAAAGGCTAACCAGCTGTTATCTTATGAACAGGAAAATAATATAAATAGATATATAAAAATCCAATTTCTAGTTTAGCTAAAGAAAGATTCCAAGCATCACAACTACTACAGCACACAAATTAAATGAATGCTCTAAGTACCAAAACGCTTTATGAAGCAGTTTTGGTGTACAGATCATGCCCCTGCAGTCTTACTGCTAAATTCTCTGCCATTTAGGCTTCAGATCGCTTTGTTTATTTAGCCATAGCCACAATTTCCCTGGCTTAGTCTCACAAAACCACAAGGTAAATGGTGGTGTGTGTGTGTCAGGAGAGGTGCGGCTAGGGCTGCATAAACAAAGACGATTAATTCCACTACATCCGACAGAGTGCCAGGCGTCCCTGCTTAGAAGCTTCCATTAGCTCCCCTGAACATTATATTGCGCTTTAGTGGTTATGGTGCTTGGAGAGTTCCTGTAAGGGGGGCACAAATATCTACACCGACTGTAGTATACTCTAATGTTAGAAATACAGGTTTGTACTTCTAAAGTTAGAGTGCTGCTTTAACCCCTTAAGGACGGAGCAAAATGTACACGTTGTGAACGAAACAAAATGTAAACAAAACCTGGCATTTGCGCTACATGTCTGTTCAACCGTAATTCACCTCTTTCATATTAAATGCACCCACCCTTATTATATATAATTTTATTCAGCGGAAACAGGGCTTTCATTTAATATCAAATATTTAGCTATGAAACAAAATTTAATATGAAAAAAATGGGAGAATATAAGATTTATTTTTATTTTTTTTAGTTCTACATGACATTTTAACTCTCAATGTCATAATACTGTTTGCTTTTACTGCAATAAAATACACATATTTGTATTCAGCGATGTCTCACGTGTAAAACAGTACCCCCTATGTACAGGTTTTATAGCGTTTTGGGAAGTTACAGGGTCAAATATAGCACGTTACATTTGAAATTGAAATTCACCAGATTGGTTACATTGCCTTTGGGACTTTATAGTAGCCCAGGAATGAAATTTACACCCATAATGGCATACCATTTGCAATAGTAGACAACCCAAGGTATTGCAAATGGGGTATGTCCAGTCTTTTTTAGTAGCCATTTGGTCACAAACACTGGCCAAAGTTAGCGTTAGTATTTGTTTGTGTGTGAAAAATGCAAAAAACGCCAATTTTGGCCAGTGTTTGTGACTAAGTGGCTACTAAAAAAGACTGGACATACCCCGTTTGCAATACCTTGGGTTGTCTACTATTGCAAATGGTATGCCATCATAGGGGTAATTTTCATTCTTGGGCTACCATAGGGTCTCAAAGGCAACGTAACCAATCTGGCGAATTTTAATGTGAAAAAAATGAAACACAAGCCTTATATTTGATGCTGTAACTTTTGAAAACACCATAAAACCTGTACATGAGGGGTACTGTTGTACTCGGGAGACTTCGCTGAACACAAATATTTGTGTTTCAAAACAGTAAAAAGTATCGCAGGAATAATATCGTCCGTGTAAGTGCTGTTTGTGCGTGAAAAATGCAAAAAAGTCACTTTTACTGGCGATATCATCGTTGTAATACATTTTACTGTTTTGAAACACTAATATTTGTGTTCAGCAAAGTCCCCCGAATAGAACAGTACCCCCCATGTACAGGTTTTATGGAGTCTTGGAAAGTTATAGGGTTAAATATAGTGCTAGCAAATTAAATTCCCTTTACTTTCGGCATGGGTTGTCAGGCAGGTCCCGCTAATTGTAATTAATTAAGATACCCAATTATATAAAATTATTACATAAATATATATGTAGAATTAATATATGTATATATATATATACGTATGTGAATATATATGTATATATATATAATTTTTTTAAAATATTTTTATTTATATATATAGGTAGGTATATATATATATATATATATATATATATATATATATATATATATATATATATATATATATATATATATATATATATATATATATAGTGATATATACGTATATATTTATGAAGAAAGTCCCAAACGAGGACTGAAACGTCGAAACAGCTTTTTTAAACACATGGATTAATAAATTTCATTTTTTAATCAAACTTTTGGAAATCCGTGAGTGCTGATCACTTTCTATTGGTATATATATTTATGTATATAGATATATATATTATTTCGTTCTACATGTATTTTGATATAAATATATATATATATTAATATCACAATACAGTTAGAACGAAATAACACACATCTATATATTTTTAATTATTGATTTTATTTAACGTATTTACATATTAAATTTTTTTATATTATATATAAATATATATATATAACAATAATTATATATATATTTAATCAGTATCAGTCTACATGTAATTTGATATTAATATATATATATAATTATATATATATATTAATAGTAAAATACACCTAGACAGTGTTATGTATATATATATATATATATATATATATATATATATATATATATATATATATATACACACACGTACACTGTCTAGGTGTATTTTACTATTAATATATATATAATTATATATATATTAATATCAAATTACATGTAGACTGATACTGATTAAATATATATATAATTATTGTTATATATATATTTATATATAATATAAAAAAATTTAATATGTATATATATGATCTAAGTATAGATTATTTTTTTTTTACACTTTTAACTTTTATTTAATTTTATTTACAGCCAGCAGGGGGATCACCTGTCATTACAGGCAGCACCCCTGCTGGCAATGCTGCAGCCAGCTATCCCGGCCATGTGACTGTGAGGTCCTCGCAAGGACCTCACTCTCACATGGCCAGGGGGGCTTCCAGGGGGATGGACGTGCTGCGGGGTGCTCCCTGGGAGTCCCGACCGCCGGCGACCGGGTAAGTAAGAAAAGACCGGAGGGCGTACTATTACGCCCGGCGGCCTTTAGAGCCGCCTAAAATAGGGCGTAATAGTACGCCCTCCGGTCTTAAGGGGTTAAAATATACATTCTCTATTAACTAAGCATGAACAATATTACAATGGAATGGTATTACCTATAAAATGTTATGGCAATAACAGCACTGTATGTATGATGAATGAGCTAGAGTTTCCCAGATGGCAACTATTTTTTATTTTATTATAGGTATTTATATAGCGCCAGCTTATTCCGCAGCGCTTTACCATAAGGGGGGAATTTACCAAATGAGACAATAACAAAATGTAACAGGAACAATAGGTAGTTGAGGACCCTGCTCAAACGAGCTGACAGTCTAGAGGAGGTGGGGTATAAAAACACCATAGGAAGAGCATTGAGGTAGACAGCAAATAGACATGGTGGGAAAGTAGCAGAACTGAAGGTGAGTGTGGACAGTGGCCCTTTAAGAGAGAGCAAGAGCGGAGAGACCAAGAACCAGTGAAGAAATGTAAGAGGGGCCAGAGTTGGTTGGAGCTTTATAGGTAAGGGTTAGTATTTTAAATTGACACCTGTAGGGTACAGGAAGCCAGTGTAAGGATCGACAGAGGGGTGAGGTGTGAGAGGAGCAACAGGAGAGAAAGATCAGCAGCATTCATCACAGATTGTAGGGGGGTAGTACGGCTTCTGGGGCGATGAAGTAGGAGAGAATTACAGTAATCCATGTGAAAAATTATTAGAGCATGAACAAGCTCCTTGGTAACATCTTGCGTAAGAAAGGTAGCGGCCAATGTTTTTAAGCTGGAATATACAGGTTTTAGCAACAGATTGGACATGAGGCACACAGGTGAGGCCAGGATCAAAAATGACACAAAGATAGCGAGCTTGAAAGGATTG